GAGGTGAGGGGAGGTGGGGGGAGGTGAGGGGAGGTGGGGGGAGGTGAGGGAGGAGGCGAGGGGAAGGTTCGGGGGAGATGAGGGGAGGTAAGAGGAGGTGAGAGAAGGTGGGGGGAGGTGGGGGGCAGTTCGGGGGAGGTTCGGGGGTAGATTGGGGGGGGGGGTGACCATGCAAAGCCATCTCCCCGGCCACTTCGCAGCGACCCCCACACGCCTACAACACCTGGCCAGCCGTCCCACTGCGGCCACTCAGAATCAAACTCCACACCCTCCTCCTCATAGTTCCACACCTGACGAGAACGGGCATATGCTACGATTCGGAGCACTGTATAACATCTTCTTGGTTCTTTCGGTAAAGTCACGTAGAGTGGAAATAATAATGGACTCTGTCTTCTCGACAGACCTGTTCTCCACCTGAGGACGGCTGCTTGCGTTGTGGCTGAAACGTCGTGAGAATTATTTTATTATGTTTTTATTTGTATAATTTTATTATTTCCACTCTACGTGACTTTACCGAAATATTTTTCGATTTAAAGCTTTCGTGACTGCAGGGATTCATCTTCTTGGTTTTTTCGGTAAAGTCACGTAGAAGGGAAGTAATAAAATAATAAAAATAAAATATAATAAAATAATTCTCACGACGTTTCGGCTACAACGCAAGCAGCCGTCTACGTGACTTTACCGAAAAAACCAAGAAGGAGAGGGGAGGGTAGGGAGGGGCTGGGTGGGGAGGGTGGGGCTGGGTGGGGAGGGTGGGGCTGGGTGGCGGGTGGGAAGTGTGGGGCTGAGTGGGGAGGTGGCTGGTCACCCGGTGGTGCCCTTATAAAACTCAACGTTTAACCTACTCACGCCGGCTTGTGCCCGCCCTCACAGTCGGGCATATTTGCGGAATACACCACGCCGCCGTTGACCCTGGCCATTGACCGAGCAACCCAACGTTCCTACCAGCTCCCTCCGCAGGAATGTGTTTTTTGTTCAGATTACAGGGCGTGATTTTTAACGTTTATATAATTCGAACTGCTTTTTGTGCTAAATTTCTTGTGCTTCCCCGCACCTCCGATTAGCACGGTCAGCTCCGTACGGTGCGAAAGAAGTTCCACATACACACAGGACAATGATGCTTCGTCTCCATTCAGGCTTTGTAAACGACCGCTTTGAGGTGACCCAGCAGGAATCAGAAAAGGTTATCGATACTGATAATAGATACAATATTAACTTAAATGATAAGCAATTACAATGTTTTAATGCCAGTGTTAAAATTCGATGAAATAACCATTCGTGTATGCTGCCTTTTGGGGCCACCTTGTATATTTTATATTCTTGTGGAGCCGATGGTTGCAGTATAAAATACTTTTACACTACGAAACCTCCTTTACCAGTGGAGAAATATGGTACATTTCAACTGCTTGTGTTGTGGTTATTGCAAACATGATCCCTTGTATAAAGGTGTCAGTTTTTGTACCAGATGAAAGGGTAAAAACTTATTACTATATTTTCCACTGGTAAAAGAGGTATCAGTGTAAATGCTTACCCCGAGCTCTCAATAGTCTGATAGTGCGCTGTTTTTGAGTTGTACGCCTTTTGGCGTCATCTGGTCCAACACCAATGGAGACTAGGCTCTAAGAAAAGCTGTCTCGGGTGTGGACCAATCAACTTCAAGGACAGTGCAAATCATTATCAGAGTTGTTTCTTTTTGTTTGAATTTTGACTGCTTGTGTTGTGGTTATTGCAAACATGATCCCTTGTCTAAAGGTGTCAGTTTTTGTACCAGACGAAAGGGTAAAAACCTATTACTATAAAAATACTTAATGAAGATGTGTACAGCGCACGCACTATTTATCTTAACCGATCGAGTAAAGCAACGGTTCCTCCGGTATCGATGTCTTGAAATGACTAAATATTTGTCGCGTCCGCTTTAAAACGTAATTTTGTGTAAAAGCCAAGGCCGTCCCCGTGCAAGAGGTTTTCTGGGTTAGAGCGCGTAAATACAAATGTGCCGTTAAACCCGCCACCACCTGACAGCCGATCAGTAATGTTCGTCACGTGAACAGAACGTGCCAATTCGTCACTAGTACAGCACACCGATGTGTTGCTCGTACAGCACATGGGCACGTTCTGTTTACATGCCAACCCTTAAGAATTGGCTGTGTCGGGTGGTGGCGGTTTTAAGAACACATTTATATTTACACGCTCTAACCCCCCAAAAAAACCTCTTATTATGGATATTCTTCGCGAGCCTCCTGCTACTACTCGGTGTTAAACTAGCTAAGGCCGTTTTGTGACATTTCAATAAACCGCTATTTAATAAAACAAAACATGTATAAAATTACCGTACGACAAAATGTGCCTTGATATTTAAATCGACACCCACGTGAACCCCTGGGGTTCCAAACATCAGCCAGACCCCCAACCCCACCCCCTTCTGGTAAGAACCTTCGGGAGAAACGCAAGAAACCGTGGCAGAGGGAGCAGGAATCCGAGAAAGCCCCAAGCAACCAAGGCACAGAAGCCACTCAACGACAGTCCGCACACGGGGGCCAAGTCCCTCCGGCTTCGCATCGCTCGCAGCGGCGTTCACTCTTGCGACGCGTTCTCGCGGTGTGTTTTTTTCCATTCGGGGGAACGCTTTTCGTACAACGCGGAACGCGAAACGTTATAACAGTAATGCATATTCTTGGTTCTGTCGGTAAAGTCACGTAGAAGGGAAATAATAAAGTAATAAAAATATATAAAAAAATCTAATTCTCACTTTACCGAAAGAACCAAGAATATGAATCCCTGCAGTCACGAAAGCTTTAAATCGAAAATTAACAGTAATGCAGTTGCGGCGTACTCTCGGTTATTTGTGTTTTTTTTTATTTAAAGTTTTTATTTTCGTTTTATTTCTTTTTTTCGTGTTTTTTTTAGTTTTTTTGGTTTTTTCGGTTTTTAGTGGTTTTGGGGTAATTTTTTCAGTTGTTAGTGGTTTTGGGGTATTTACACAATTTTTAATGGTTTTGCCGTATTTTTTCAGTTTTTTTTTTATTTATAGATTTTTTTCGTTTTATTTAGTTTTTTTTTGGTATTTTTCGGTTTTTAGTGGTTTTGGGGTAATTTTTTCAGTTGTTAGTGGTTTTGGGGTATTTCCATAATTTTAAATGGTTTTACGGTATTTTTTCATGTTTTTATTTATAGTTTTTTTTTCGTTTAATTTAGTTTTTTTGTGTTTTTTTTGGTATTTTTTGGTTTTTAGTGGTTTTGGGGTAATTTTTTCAGTTGTTAGTGGTTTTGGGGTCGTATTACGTCGTTCCACGTTGCACGAAAAGCCTTCCCGAATGGAAGAACCCCGTGCTCGCTAAGACGCGTTGCGGCGTGAACACTGAGCATTAAGCGAGGAACTTGGCGTACGCGAGAAAACGTGGCAGCATTGGGTCGTCGTAGAACTTGCCGATGCAGCGCACGTCGAGAAAATAAAGCAAGCGGGTCGGCAGAAATAATGGCGCTTGCGATTCATGTTTTACGTATTAAAAAAAAAAGTGGAACCACACCACACCCGCTTGAACAGCACGAGTTAAAACCTTCACACTGTAAGACAGGATCGACAAAGAGGAGGCAACGGTTCCAACGCATCCGTTTCTCAAAAAGAGAATGCATTTAATTGCGTAAAAACGCTCAACAAATGTCACCTTCGCAAACCTCAACCCACGTGGGGCGTACCGGCGCGCAAAACGTAAAAAAAAGACCGTCGCGCGAGACCGAGCCGCAAAGGTCGCAACCGGGTACCCGATACCCGTACCCTACCCGATACCCGGCTACCCATACCCGGCCGGGTACGGGTAGCCGTTTGCGACCCTGGTGCGGCCGGGTACGGGTAGGCCGTGAGTCACTGGTGAGTAACTGTTTGTCACTCATTTCGGGTAGGGTACGGGTAGGGAACGGGTACCCGTACCCATTTGCGACCCTGGTGCGGCCGGGTACGGGTAAGGAATCAAAACCCGTTTGCGACCTTTGCCGAGCCGATGACCGCACCACAATTCCCTGGTTCGACACCCCCCCCCCGCTCGCGGGTAAATAACGCCGGTGACGCACGCACGCACGTGTGTGTGTAAACGCAGCGGCTATTTGTATTTACGGCGACAGCTTCCGATGTTTGGTCCACGATGCCGGGCAGTCGAATCGATCGCTCCGCGTAGCCGTTGTGTCGTTCCGGCCACGATGTCCGACGTTCCGCTCCACGCGCCGGGCACTTTATCGAGAAACCGACACCACGCAAGAACGACTAAAAACGAAACTATTTTTATTTTCCCAGGCGAGGCCCGCTGAGCTACAATAGCTCTTCTTGCAGACGCGACCTGGCGATCACAAATGGCAGCTCAACAACAAAGTGGCTCATCGTCATCGTGTGGAAAATTATCGCAGCCAAATAATCTAAATAATGCGTGATGTCTGAGCGCACGTCGATTCTAAATGTGGAGGGGAAAACTGCGATCAGGGGGGGAGAGAGAGAGACACGCAAACTCCAAATATACAGCAGGGTTGGGATTGAACCCACGACCTCCTGTACACCAGGCGAGAGAGTTAACATCTCCTAGCCACCGTGATGATGATGAGAGAGAGACGCAAACTCCAAATATACAGCAGGTGTCAGGGTCGGGATCGAACCCACGACCTTCCTGTATACAAGGCGAGGTAGTTAACATCACCTAGCCACCGCGGCGCCCACAACACGCGATACAACACAGCCCCCCAAATCAACAATCGGAGGGGCTAAACCTACGCTCACCTTGTGGATCTATTTCACTGCGGTTGCTACTTTGCGCGATCGAGCGAAACGATGATGGACTGGAATCAGAGGCTACGTACGGGAGGGGGGGGGGGGGGTTTGGTTTACCGTATGACGAGGCAATTCGCATCGCCGGATGACCGCGCGACAACGGCTACGGTAACGACACGCACCGATTTACAAGCGAGCGACCGTTGTGCTGCCGTGGGAAAAAACGAGTCTGGCGGAAAGAGGGCCGGGGGGGGGGGGGGGCGGTTTAGGGGGCGGATGACGCGGGCCGCACGCACGCAAGTTGAACTTCTTTCGCACCGCATGTAGGCCTACCCACGGCCAATCACATCGGGTAGTTGAACATGACGTCCTGTTTGGCCAGCTCCAGCAACATGGGGTCGTCGAAGAACTTGCTGATGCTTACGTCCTCGCTCAGCCCCTGCGGAAAGCGGAGGGGACGTGCCGTGGGGCACAGTGGGGTTAGAAAACGCAAGGGAACAAGAGCGGTCCTCCCTCCACCCCGCCATCCCAGAACCGCTAGAGCAGTGGTTCTTCTTCTTCTTAACCGGCGTGTCGTTCGTGCCACCAACCCCGCCCGGGGGTGTGAGATGCCCCTTTCCGGGGGGGGGGGTTAGCGAGACGTGGCCAAATTTTTTTCAGAAGGTAAATCACCGATAATACAATTTGAGCACGGGGCACGCGGGTGCACCCGTGCTTACACCGGGGAAGGGATTTAGGCACCGGTTCAACCTCCTGGCGCGGGCAGGTTGATACAAACGAGCCTACCTCTCCCTCGAGGAAGAGTAGGCCACATAATGCTCAAGAGGCCCTTCAGCCAGTGGTGGTGTGCGCAAGCAATTGCAGTCCTGCCCCCTTACCCGATCAAGGACACTCAGCTGTAAGCGTAGACCAGTGTTGTTCATGACAAGGGCCCAGGGCTCACTAGCAGCCCCTGGTGGCCTTTAGTGCGCCCCCCCCCTCCCGACAATACACAGCGACAACACCCCACCCCACCCCCATCATCGTCATCGTGCTGCGGTCACAAACCCCGCAATGGTTTCAAATGGTGTGGCAGGCCCTCCTCACTCGCACTGATGACGCCTCATCGGCGAAAGTGCCCCCCACCGCCACTCCCCCCCCACCCACCCCCACCTTTTGAAAACGTAGTGAAGACCGCTGGCGTAGACCACCGTGTGAATGAAGACGCCCAAAGGCGGTGATCGAAAAATAAAACCCACAAGACGCCCCGCGCGTGTACCTTTCGGCGACGAGTCTTGATCATGAATTCCCTGGCGAGGTGAGGGGCCGGCTGCGGCTCCAGTGGACGGATCACAATGCTCTTGTCCAAGGGATCTCCTGGCACGATCTTCGCGTGTGCGCGAAAAAAAAACGACAAACACTTGGCGCCGAGTCTGACACGTAGGCTTTCGCGACCAATATTATTCGATCGCGCGAGTACAAATGTGTCGTTCGGCCAGAATTCTGGCAAAATCGCTGGATGTGATTACCAGCGAAACTTCAGAGTACTCAAATTGTAAATGTTGTGGATTCGCTCTCCGAACACACAAGCGGTGGGCTGAACTAGTAACCAATTGAGCCACGTTCTGTTTACGTGACAAACCTTACTGGATGGCTGTCGGGTGGTGGTGGTGGGTTAACGACACATTTATACTAACGCCATCTAACCCAAAAAGCTTTATGCTGGACTTGGTGCTTGCCTACTTAACTGGCCATTAAATAAGACATCAGTTGATCGAAAACAAAGTAGGGGTTTCCCCTACGATGTATGCGGCGGTAGTAGTTAGTAGTAGTAGATGCGTTCCAAAGGAAGACAGCTGCCTGGCGAGTAGCGCACACAGTACACATACACAGTACACACACAGTACACACACAGCATACATACAGTACACACACACAGTACACACACGGTACACATACACAAAACATAGAGTAAATACAGTACACAGAGTACAAGCAGTACACACACGGTACACACACAGTACACATACACATAACATAAAGAGTAAACACGGTACACACACAGTACAAGCAGTACACACAGGGTACACACACGGTTCACATACAGTACACACACAGTACAAATGTTGTCCCACGTCCTGCAATGTTTTCAAATGATGTCAAGGGGATCTTTAATGTCCACTGTGAAACAGACGGTTGTGCATTTCAGCTAAATGCACAAACAGCGAGAACTAGGGCAGCTTGCTGGCAGTAACCTATTTTCACGCGGTGGTGTGTCATTTTCCGTAGGTGTTCACAAATCCGACGAAAGCTGTTGTATGTGTGTATATATGTTGAACTTCTTTCGCGCCGTACGTAGGCAAACGTGCTAATCGTAGGTGCGGGGGGAAGGACAACACACTAAACACAAAAATCAGCTCTAAAAAAACGAGTTCTCAATCTCGATTATTTCAGTGCACAGCTCCTAAAATCGGAAAGAGCGTTCCAGACGGCCGCAGAAGCGCATCTGAAAGCGCAGCGCGATGCGGTGACCACCGTCTGTGTTCGATGGCCAGCCAAAAGCTGCTGTTGCTGCGAGGATGACCGGAGTTCGCGTGACGGTTTAATGCTCCTTGACGAGATCATCAAAGGTATCGTGGTTCACTTGCGGCGAGAACTTTGCGTGTAACGAGTGCCAAAGATTTTTGTTTGTCGAGCACCGTCGTCATCATGATAACTTGGGAGACGAGAAACGACGGGAGGAGGGAATTCCAAAGTGGAGCAGTGCAGCAAAGACGAGGGAACACCTTCTTGGTTCTTTCGGTAAAGTCACGTAGAATGGAAATAATAAAATAATAAAAATAAAACATAATAAAATAATTCTCACGACGTTTCGGCCACAACGCAAGCAGCCGTCCTCAGGTGAAGAACAGGGCTGTCGGAAATAGGGAACGCGTCGCGACCTGCCGGCACGCGGCGGTTCAGACCAGCGGCGCGACGGACGCGACGAAACATCCGGCGCGCACACGGTGCCCGTGCGCGCACAAACGACACGCGCCGACGCAGCACGACCGTTACCTGCCAGTGGTGGAACACGGACAGGCAGAAGGCCTGCCCCTGCGTGTGCGTCCGAAGGTCGGTCTCGAACCCGAACGAGTCGATGGCGGGGATGAAAGCCTTGATGGTGTAGAGCGGCGAGCCGGGGATGGGCGCGTCCTGAGTCACGTGGCCTCTGCGCGCGGTGGGCAAAAACGAAACGGGCGTTTTTTAACCTCGGACCGCGGTTGCCCTGGATCACGCGGGGTGGAAGGGGGGGGGAGACCTAGTGGTCCTCGAGTGGTAAGGGCTGCTGGGGCGAGCGGCATTGCTACTCTCGAGCCCGGGCCGCCCCCCGCCCCCCCTTCTAGCGACGTCGCAGAAATATATCGAGCAAGCGACGAATGAGAAGGCCCGGGTCGTTGGGTTTTAGCGGGAGGGGTTGTTGTACCCCCCCCCACCCCCATGTGAAAACGAGTCATTGTGCCAACCCTCCGCACCCAGGGGAGATCCCGATGGAATGCGGTTTCTATTTAAACTCCCATTCAATTAAAGCGATAACTTTCACGACGACGGAAAAAACAATCGCCCGGCTGCACACGGCGGAGGCACATCAATAAACAAAGCAAACCACGCTGAGCAGAGGTCGCAAACGGGTTTTGATTCCTTACCCGTACCCGGCCGCACCAGCGTCGCAAACGGGTACCCGTACCCGGCCGTACCCGTACCCTACCCGTACCCGGCACCTTTTTACAAGGAGTCATGTTTGCATAGAGCACAATACCTGCAGTCATAATGCAAACAAAAAACATAACAATTATCATATTTTTTACTGGCAAATGAGGTTCCAATGGTGTAAATGCTTACCCCGAGTTCTCATACTCTGATGGTGCATTGTCTTTGAGTTGTGTGCCTTTTGGCGTCATCTGGTCCAACCATGTGAGACTAGGCTCTAAGGAAGCTGTCTCGGGTGTGGACCGATCAACTTCCAAGGACAGTGCATATCATTATCAGACTTGTTTCTTTTTGTTTGCATTTTGACTGCTTGTGTTGTGATTATTGCAAACATGATGCCTTGTATAAAGGTGTCAGTTTTGTACCAGTTGAAAGGGTAAAACCTATGACTGAAAGCCAGTTTTTTAACGTTCGTGAAAATAAACGCGGCACCACCGCGTCCCGAATTCCTGGGCCACCGCCGCCACACTGTGCCGCCGCGGTGGTACATGCCTTCGCCGAGCCAGCACGGTGTAGACGGCAGACACGCAGTCGGCCGGGGCCTGCACCTCCACGAAGTAGTAGGGCTCCATGAGACGCGGCGTCGCCTGCAACAGACGCGGGCGAGCCGCGGGTTACAGGGCCGCCCAACGCGCGAGTTATCGCACTTCAAACTCGCGCACGTGACCTGCGTGTGTGTTGATCTTCTCTCGCACCGTACACGTAGCCAGCCGTGCTAATCGCAGGTGCGGGGGAAGGACAACAAACTAACACACGCAAAGTAGTTATCAAGAAATGAGTTTTCAATCGAGATGATTTCCAAGTGCATGGCTCCCAGGGGATTCCTAATATCGAAAGAGCGTTCCAGACGGCCGCAGCAGCGGTGCTCTCGCAGAACACGGTGCGGGTTGTAATAATCATAACACTTTCATTTGATACGGCGTCATTAGTGTGCTAATAAGCATGCCACAACGCTGTACGTTAATTATATACGAGGACCAAATCCGTATGCGGCCACAACCAAGCAAAATGAAAACCCGGCTACGACCAAGTGAAATAAAAAAATCAATCAACAAATGAAGAAATAGCATAAAAAAAAGCACAAACGACGATAGCAACAACAGCAACAACAAGCCGCGCCGAGCGTCGCGCGAGGGCAGCGTCCAACGTCAGGTTGGCGCGGACGACTTATTCGGCAGGGGAGGGGACACGCGCACGCGGGCACGCACCATGAGGAACGCCGAGTAGACAACCCGGCGTGCCGTCGGGATGATCTGACCGCCGCCCCGGTGCAGCGGCTCATTGGCGATGACCGCGTCCAGGATCTTGAACTTCACATTGCGGATTGCTGAGCGCCAGACAAGCGCGCGAGCAGCACACACACACACACGGCACACGGCACGCGGCACGCGACACGGCGTTAGCATCGCTTTCTTCGTTGCCGCTGGGTGCTCCTTTGGGTCGCCGCTCCGACCCAAAGGGCTGTTTTTACGCGTAGCGTACGGTTCAAGCAAAGCCTGCGTGAAACAAGCATTTCAAATAATATTCTTAGGTTTTTTTTCTTCGGTAAAGTCACGTAGGTAAAAAATTAAAATTAATAAAAGTTAAATAAAATTAAAAAAATACAGCTATCGTGGCTGTGACGGTTCCACCTGAAGACGGAAGCTTGTGTTGCCTCCGAAACATCGTGATTTTTTATTTTATTAATTTAAATTTTTTACCTACGTGACTTTACCGAAAAAGAAAAAAACCCTAAGAATATGAATCCTTGCAGTCACGAAAGCTTCAAATCTAGAATTTCAAATAATGATGACGATAAAAAACCCCACCAATGAATGGCTAAAGCTCCTAGTCACCGATTCATTTATTTACATTTGTTGCCGTCCCAAAAACCAGCGGCTCATCTTCGCCACGGACAAAACGAAAGGTGACAATGAAGGACTGCTGCCGAGTCAACCGAGGGGAGGGGGGGAGCCCAGAGGGCCAGTTCAGATAACACTGGTCAACACACTTGTTCTGGCATAAGGTATTCCAACGGTTTTAAGGTAATTTTGTGGTGCCGATTCCAAATCTGGCATCAGTTTTGTCCATCACATCAGATATCAAATATTGCATTTTCAATAAAAACTGCAGAAGAAAAATATTACATAAATGTGGATATCTACATAAAATGATAATATAAACACACTATTCTAAAAATACAGCACCATATTTTAACACTAAAGCAGTCACTGACTCGTAACAACTTGCAATCATAAGTGACAGAGTTAATTTCGGGTAAATCAATGAAAATGGGGTTTGCCGATAGCATAATAAGTATAACCCGTAAAAACAAAGTTTTTCACTCTAAATCCTTTATATGCGTGGCGGCTAGAGTCCTCTCGTCCTCTGGCTTGAGATGGCTGCCACCTATGGGTCAGATGATTGTCTGCAGTATTAAACAATTGGTAATTAAATATTTAATTTGTTTTCCCTAAACAGTGTAAAATTTTGGAAAACATTTTTCACGAACACTAATTGTCTCGCACAACGAGTCTGTGTGGAAAATGTCAGCTCGATTGGATCACGGGAAGTGGGTTAAAAAACGACCGAAAGATTTGCACGGTCGCAAGCACGCAAGCAAGCGAACTTAATATAAAGGATTTAAAATGAGATGTGATAGAGAAAATCTGAGATCAGATTTGGAATCAGCACCTTGAAATTAGTCTAAAACAGCTGCAAAAGTCCAGGCCAGAATTTTTTTTGTTGCTGACCAGTGTTATTATCGCACCGATGTCGGCCGTGAAGTGGGCGAATCGACCCCCCCCCCGCCAACTGCCTCGACAAATCGTCGCGATTCGGGGGGGGGGGAGGGTCGCGATTTAAGTCAAAGGATGGACTCTCCTCTCTAGCAATGCGGCGAATGGTAACGGGTGCAAGCGCAACAAACAAAAACATGAACAAGAAAACATCTTAAAGTGACTAAGTACAAACAGAAAATCCAAGAAAAGACAGCAAAATATTGCAGAAAAAAGCACCGTACACCAACCCTGTGTGCAAAAATCCCAGTGGGATGCAAGTCAAACAACAACAACCATAAGACAACTTAGATTAAGGCCATCAGTCTAACTGATGGGGGGGTGCAGGAGAGGTGCCCGGTGAGGTGGGACGGCTCTCGGCTGGACGGGCGGAGGAGGATGAGGAGGAGGTGGGTGGACTCACGCTCATCGCACAGTGGGCCCTCGCGAGTGCCCCACTGAAAGCCCTGCACGATGCTGTCCTTCACCGAGCCCAGCAGCGCCTTGTCCACCTGCGCACATGCGGAACCACAGACACAGGTCAAAGGTCAAGATAACCACCCTCGGTTGAAAGCTTTCGTGACCGCACGGATTCATATTCTTGGTTCTTTCGGTAAAGTCACGTAGAAGGGAAATAATACAAATAGAACAACAATATTCTCACATTTCCACTGCAACACAAGCAATCATCATCAGGGGTGAAAACCACAGCAAGAAAATGTTTCGTGTTGAAAATGTTTCTTGCTGTGGTTTTCACACCTGATGATGATTGCTTGTGTTGCAGTTGAAACGTCGCGAGAATTTTATTGTTTTAGTTTATTATTTCCCTTCTACGTGACTTTACCGAAAGAACCAAGAATAGATAACCACCCTCCCCCACTCCCCGCGGTGTGGGGGCAAGTGCTGTTAAGAGAGCAACTGCCAAGGGCGGGGGCACGGCACGCCAAATGGCGGTGTTGGCCGGCACCGCGCCACGGCCGCCTTTGCCTCCCGAGTGGCGACGCTTAAAACTAATTTCTTACAACTGCTTTTTGTATTTAGTTCGTTGTCCTTCCCCCGCACCTCCGATTAGCACGGTTGGCGACATACGGTGTGAAATAAGTTCAACATACATACATACATAGACTCACACAGAGACCCAAAGACTCACACAGACCCATAGAGTCACGCTCTGGCCCACAGACCACATCGAGACCCATAGAGACCCATAGACAGATATACATACACACCCCCGTAGAATTCACATGGGTGAACCAACTGTATTGCCATCACGTGCCATGCCCTACAACAACCCACTGTGCGCCACACCTAGGCCAGGTACAGCCCTGCAAGTACGAACACACTCGCGCTGAATGACGGCGTCAATCTGCAGCTGTGTGGGACAGGGTAGTAGAGTATTTGGCTGCTGTAAATTTCCACACGGCGACGAGCCACTTCGTTGACCCATTATTTGTGATAGCCAGGTCGGTTCTGAAAACAGTTATGTAGATAGCTCAGTGGGCCTTACCTGGTAAAATAAAATAAAAACTACGGCACTGCATTGCGCCGTTAATCGCCAACCGGCTTTTGGAATACAGCCTGTTTAAACGAATATTCGTAGCAACCTCAGCCCAGGCCTGAACATCATCCAAAACCAAACCGATGGCTCAATACGGTGGGGGAGGGTTTCGCCACTTCTGCGCCGGTACGCCCCGAGTCACAGAATAAACGCGCGTGTCTTCTTCACGTGCGCATGCGCAAAAGTGGAAATATTCTTAGGTTTTTTCGGTAAAGTCACGTAGGTAAAACATTTAAATTAATAAAAGACGGTGCCACCTGAAGACAGAAGCTTATGTTGCCTCCGAAACGTCGTGATTTTTATTTTACTTTTATTAATTAAAATTTTTTACCTACGTGACCTTACCGAAAAAAAACCTAAGAATATGAATCCTTGCAGTCACGAAAGCTTCAAATCTAGAAGTGGAAATGTCGAATTTTGACTGTGAACACAAGCGGACGCAGCACCTCTGAAGGCAGGGTGTCGTCCACCAGGATGTTGGGCCCAGTGGTGTCGGGGCCGAAGGCCCAGATGGACCGGGCGGCGAGCAGATCCCAGTCGTACTTGGTCTGGAAAAACTCTCCGAGCTTCTTCCTGCGAGGGGGGGGGGGGAAGCCAGGAGGCGACGGTTAATCACCTGCAGGCCTCAAGGTGCACATGGCCTGGCACAAGCGTCGTGGTGACGTCACCGCCACTTAGTGGCGAATGGCGGTTGTTGTTGTTGTGTGTACGCGTGTGTGTGTATATGTCATCAGCCAGTCATCTCAGTCATCTCGATCAGTCGACCCGTGGCACCTGGGTCTGCCCCGTGACCTCCTGCCAGCGGGCGTTCGAAACTTCACGTGGCCTCAAGGTGCACATGGCCTGGCACAAGCGTCATGGTGACGTCACCGCCACTTAGTGGCGAATGTCGGTTGTTGTGTGTACGCGTGTGTGTATACGTGTGTGTGTGTGTGTATACGTGTGTGTGTGTACGTGGCCTCAAGGTGCACATGGCCTGGCACAAGCGTCGTGGTGACGTCACCGCCACTTAGTGGCGAATGGCGGTTGTTGTTGTGTTGTGTGTACGCGTGTGTGTATACGTGTGCGTGTATACGTGTGCGTGTGTACGTGGCCTCAAGAAGCACATGGCCTGGCACAAGCATCGTGGTGACGTCACCGCCACTTAGTGGCGAATGGCGGTTGTATTTGTTGTGTAAGTGCGGGGTGCGTGCATACGCAGAGGGCACAGATGGTGCATCGGTCAGTCATCTCAGTCGAGCCATGGCGCCTGGTTCTGTTCCGTGACCTCCTGCCAGCGGCCGTTCGACACTTCACGTGGCCTTAAAGTGCACATAGCCTGGCACAAGCGCTGTGGTTGATGTCACCGCCACTTCGTGGCGAACAGCGGTCGTTGTTGTTGTACGTGTGCGTGTAAGGGAGCGGTAGTGCAGCGGTTAGCGCGCTGCGCTACGAACCCGGTCGACCCGCTGTTCGATTCCCGCTCGCGGCCACCAACAGCAGTGACGATTATCTGAACCGGTCCTGGGCACTTCTCTAGCTCGACTCAGGCTCAAATGAGTAACCAGTGGTGTGGTGTGTAAACATCGCCACTGGGGGAGACATGGCGGCGTTTCCCACTACGCGGAGGTTAGCACGCACACAGTAAATACCTCAGTGGGCTTTGGGCAGGTAAGGTAAAAAAAAAGTTTGTTTTATTGGCATAGATTTTCTTAAAGTGAAAAAAAAGTGAAGCGAGCGAGCGTTGCGAGAGAGCGAGAGAGAATTCCACGAGCGGTTTCGTGGTCGTACTGCGCGGCTCTCCGATGCGCTTTCTGGTCGTACTAACCGCGCGTCGTTTAAACGATTGGCTGCCGCTATAAACGGTCACGTGACGATTTGTAAAAAAAAGGCGTCAGTTTTGTTGCCAGATAGAAGGGTAAAAAACCAATTATCATATTTTTACTGGCAAATGAGGTTCCAATTGTGTAAAATAAATATAGTTTTGGTTCAATAAATTTTTTTTACGATTTGCTAACCTTTCCTACACTTTATAACGCTCTGACCCCCGTGACCTGACTGGACATCTGTGAAAAAGAGCTTCATAGCTCATCGGATTCCTCCAGCATAAACAAATATTCTGACTTTGATTCTGAAACCCAGACCGCCTTCGGCAAGCGCGTTACCTGTTCCAGGTGATTTGCACCACCTCGTTCTCGATGTCCTCGGCCAAGCCTTTCTCCAGCGGCTCGGCAATCATTGTGATCTTGTTCCTGCGAAAGCAACGATCCACACACGTCAACAAACAACCGGAGTTGCTCCAGATGCTCCTCCGGTTTCCTCCCCACACCTAAAGCACTCATACAGGTAGTAACAACAGTTCCACACTGCCCACCAGGGATTATTTGTCCGTCTGTCTGTCGTGCATAGCCACGCCCTCGATTTGTATTTCTTAGAGCGCTTCGGGCGGGCTCAGCACCACGTGACGCGCCGCCCCACGCAGCTTGCGCCGCGTGACACGGATCGCACGAATGCGCCGTCCAACCAAGTTGCTACCTGCCCCCTCCAAGGAACGTGTTTAATTGTCCGATAATTACAGCTGAACATATACACAGTGGACCGCAGAGTTTGGGCAATTTGTTGGTGCCGGCTCATCGTCAGGCTGCCGCCTTCCCACTCGCCTGCGGTTCCTAACCCCTTGCGCGCCCGAGTCGTTGCTCTCTCTCTTTCTTCGAGAGCGAACGAATAATACTAAGTTCAGATTATTATTGTTATTTAGGGGACTTACTTCTTGTTGGGAGTCTCAGCAAAGCACTTCAAGGAGGAGGTCTCCACCACGGTCTCACAGAAAGACACGACAGGGTCAGCAACCTGCGGAAGGACGTGGGGACATAACCTTCATCACGCAGCACAGGAGATCTAAAACATTTTTATTTTTATTTAACCAGGTGTAGTACCATAAGAGGGGAGGGGCTGCTGGGGGCTCTGGGACCATAGACAGATAAGCCCTCGGCACCAGGATCCCAGGCACCCCAGACAGTTAAGCCCCTTGGCGCCACCAATGGGGGGGGGCTGTATGTGCTCTGTGGGATACCTGGGGGCGCACACAACCCCACCCCTAGTTGGGGACGAGGCATAAAAGGGCAGCTCCCTGGCCGATCGGGGCCAGTCGCAGCTCAAGACCCAAGACCCGCCAGCCAGCCAGCTTAGGACCCTGGACCCCCTCGTCCCGCTTGTCCTTGTAAGGGCCGGGACGCTGTGAGGGCCAGTGGTGGGACTCTGGGACTCCCGGCTCTACGTCCTTGTGAGGGCGAGTTCCGAGGAAGCCAGAGTCCAGACCCGCACCTTGGCTGGGTCGGGTCAGGTAGCCTCCCCGAGGGTAATTGTAGCCGGAGGACCCCAGAGCGTAGCCAGAGTAGTGTATCTAGGCTGTGTACCTAGGCTGTGTACCTAGGCTGTAACAGAGTATCAGGACTGTTGGGAGTGTTGTATTGTAATAAAGAAGTTACCTCTACAAGTGTCTCCGGAACCCATTACACAGGTAAGGCCCACTTCTGAGCTACATAAGCTCCGTGTCAGAAGCTGTCCGTCACAAGCGATAGCTCAACCAAGTGGCTTATCATCGCGTGGAAATTTGAAGCAGCCAAATGCTCTAAACACGTGATGTCGATTCTAAACGTGGAGGGGAAAAAAAGAATCCACACGACCACCGGGAGAACGTGCAAACTCCAAATATACAGCAGCAGGCGTCAGGGTTGGGATCGAACACACGACCTCCTGTATACCGGGCGAGGTAGTTAACATCTCCGAGCCACCGCGATTGGTGCGGGCAACAGACCAGAGGAGATATGAGCTTAAAATTACACGCACACAGTGAAATTTATTGCGTGGAGAACACTTAAACTTGTTAATGCATGGCGATGATCGTGAATGTAACGATTTACCCCCTCACACTGGTCCGATCGCTCTCGGAGCGCCGGGACCAATGGGCTTGGTGCAATCGGTAAAATTATAAAATAAACACTATAAGCCTTTTGCTGATTCAGCTGCACGTTGAATAGACAAGTTATGCCCACAGCAAACTTGAGACCCTGGGTACTTGTCCCAGATTCTGGGGTCTGTTACACCGACAGGAAACAGCTTGAATCCCCCCCCCCACGCCATCGACCGAAGCCTCTGACCCGGCAAACGCAGCGAAGATTCGGATCCCCGCATCTTAAAGAGGCTTCCGTTCACACAGCCAGCGGTGCGACGGTCGCCAAAGCACAAACCTTGATGTCGATCTCGGAGTACATCTTGCGAAGGTCGTGCATCACGCAGTCCAGGTAGAGCTCCCCCGTGCCCAGGATGATGTGCTCCCCCGATTCCTCCACCTGCGCGCGCGAACGAGCAGAGCTGTCAACTCACGTCGGCACGCGCGATCCCGCTTTTCCACTGGCACATCCGAGTCAAGCCGAGCCGAGCCAGCGCAGGGCGCTCACGGTAACGAGGGAGGGGCGGGGGGGGAGTGGGTTTTCCACTGGCCACCTACCATGTCCCGAGGGCCAGAACTAGGCCATGATTCAATGGCTTCGCCAGATATTCAAATCTGGCTCAAGGTGGTGGTGTGGGGCCAAGCAGGGCAGGAGGGAGGCTAATGACAGGTTTGTCGCGAGCGACGTCAGGCATCGAGCTGCGGTTCAATGGCTTCGCGAGACAATCGATTCTGACTCGGGGATGGGGCCAAGCAGGGCCAGGAGGCAGGCTACTGACGGGTTCGTCGCGAGCGACGTCACAGCCTGTACGGTGGCGAGGACAAGGCGCGACCGCTTCAGCCGCGCGTCCCGGTCGTTTATCGCGGGTGACGGCGGTGGCACGGCTCGGCATTCTTCAAGTGGAAAAACAAACCTGGCGCCGACTGAGCTACAACCGGGCTTGGGCTCGGCACGGGCCTGGAGCGGTTCGGTTGTTATGTAGTGGAAAAGAGATGTGAAGAAAAACGACAGCTTTACATTTCTAGATTTGAAGCTTTCGTGACTGCAAGGATTCATATTCTTAGGTTTTTTCTGGTAAAGTCACGTAGGTGAAAAAATTAAATGAATAAAGTAAAATAAAAATAAAATAAAATCACGACGTTTCGGAGGCAACACAAGCTTCCGTCTTCAGGTGGAACCGTCACAGCACGATAGCTGTATCAAGTGAGAGAAATTCCAAGAACACCATATTTGTATATATACTGGTTGAGGGTGGGAGGAGCTTTACATTTAGCGGAGAATGCCGTTGGAAGAGCAGCAAGCGCCCTCTCCCGCCGAGTGAGGAGGTGTACCTTGGTCGTGAGGACGGGATAACTCTTGTTGACCTTACGCAGGCCGTCCAACATCTTCGGCAGCTCCGACGGGTTCACGGGCTCGACGGCAATCTTGATGACAGACGACGTGTTGAACTTGAGCGGTCGGAAGATCTGGGCCTGTTCGCGCGAGCACAAGGGGGGGAAAGGGATCGTATCCTCACGACCAAAGCCCTTCGCAGACAACCCTCGCCCCCCTTAATTGCAATGGGGGTTCTCGACCTTTGTGGTACGGCCGTGATATGTATGAATGTATTTATGTAGCCAACCGTGAGAATCGGAGGCGCGGGGGGGGCGGGACAACAAACTAAACACAAAAAGCAGGTTCTAAAGAAATGGGTTTTCATTCTAGATTTCCAAGTGCATGGCTCCCAGTCGCTTCCTAACATCGGCCGCAGAAGCGCATCTGAAAGCGGGCGATGCGGTCGTCACCGTCTTTGTTTGATGGCCAGCCTAAAACCACCGCTGCTGCTGCTGCGAGGGATGCCCGGAGCTGGCACGATGACCAGATCGGCAAGGTGTTGTGGTTCACTCGTGGCAAGCCACTTTGTGTGTGATGAGTGCAGGTGAAACTTTGGTATAGCCCTGTGAGCCATTCGGCTCTTGAATCGGGTGCAACCGCAACAAAGAAAAATACATGAACAAGAAAACATCTTACAGTGACTATGTGACTATGCGCGAAAAGAAAAATCCAGGAAATAACTGCCAGAAAAAAAGCACCGTACAACAACGCCGTGTGCAAAAATCCCAGTGGGATGCAAGTCAAACAACAACAACAACCACAAGACAACATAGATTAAAGCCATCATTCTAACTCCGTACTAAAACAAACATATATGGCCAAACCAAAAAAAACTTTTCCGAATCACCAAATAAAGCCATTAAAGCAACTAGCGGTGGAGAAAGAAGAAAGAATATAGCAAAGCTTTATTTCAGAGAGCACTGCGATGAAAACAATGCGGTGGTTCACCTCGTCGGTGCCTGTGGGCTCTGTGATTGTAGCCGTCTTCACAATGGGCTGATCCACGCCTTCGATGAGCACCCAGTTTCCAGCCGGGACTCTGCTCACTTCAATGCGGTACCTGGACACGGCAACCCATGGTCAACATTGCGCGCACAAAGATAAAGGCAAAAGAACCCCCCCCCCCCCCCCGTATAGCCTTCAGAGACTCTTGGGGCAAGTGCTGTTAGCGAGCACCTATGAAGGCCTGCACGGCAGACGAGGGGGTGGGTGGCCAGCACCACGCCTGGCCGAATTTATCTCCCGAGTGCCGATGTTTACACGCCGTACCAGGTACTCATTTGATGCCGAGTTGACCTACGGCAGACCCAGTACTGGCGTTGACCGTAAGCGGGAATCGAACCTGGGTCTTCGGATTCGTAGCCCAGCGCGCTAACCGCTACACTACACCCACACACACCCACCCACACACGAAGATAAATATCCCCCGTGTAGCCTTAAATGAGTATAGGGGCAAGTGCTGTGAGCGAGCACCTATAAAGGCCGAAACGGTACGCGAGGGAGTGGGTGGCCAACACCACGCACGACCGCCTTTGTCTCCCCAGTGGTGACAATGTTTACGCATCGCACCAGGTACTCATTTGAGGTTGAGTCGACCTAGGGGAGGCCCAGGACCGGTTAAGCTAATCGTCACTGGTGTTGGCCGTGAGCGGGAATCGAACTCGGGTTGCCGGGTTCACAGCGCAGCGCGCTAACCCCTACACTACACCCACACAGACACACACCAATTCCCCGCCGCCTCCAGCGCCCACCAACCTCGCCACGGAGATCCAGAGGCGCCCGACGGCGCAGATGCGCGAGTCCTCCTCGTCCTCCAGCGTGTAGTTCTCCCCGAGCACGCGGGCGTCCTGCCCCGCGTGCAGCGTGCCGCCGAGCACACGGCCAAACGCGTGGAAGTGCACGCCGTCCTCCGTGCTGTACATCTTGGTCGTGTGGCACATGAGAGGCCCCTGCCGTCAGGAAGGGAGACACACACACACACACGAGTGTGTATTTTTAAATTATTTTGCACCATACGTAGCTGACCATGATAATCGGAGGAACGGGGGAAGGACAGCAAACTACACACACAATGAGCAGTTATGAATAAACGAGTTGACGTATCTAAAGAAATGATGAACGTCAAACGCAGGAGGTGAGACGCTTGCGTCTTGAACGACGTTTTATTTCTGAACATCCGCATAACGACGACGACGAGGATGACGAAGATGATGACGACGATGACAATGAAGATGACGACGATGACGACGATGATGACGAAGATGACGACGACGACGACGATGAAGATGACGACGAAGATGACGACGATGAAGATGATGATGACGAAGATGACGACGGTGAAGATGACGACAAAGATGACGACGACAATGACGATGCGTGAAACTCAAACGCACTCACGTCGGGGTCACAGTCCAGCATGGCGTCGGCCAGCTCCGAGTCCAGGGGGCCCGTGTAGGTGTGCTCAATCTTGGTGCGCGCGCCGGCTTGCGGCGACGGCACGTGCTCCACGCACATGTCCACCAGCCCTGCGCGCACGGTCAACGCGTAACGCCGGCTCACTCGCAACGCCAGCGACGTCCCGTCGCCCCCACACGCGTCTCCGTTTGGTCGGTCGGCGAGCCACGAGGACGCGGCGTGATTGTGCCAGCTACAGGCATCTCAATTTGTTCAGTCGGTACACAGCGAGCACACGGCGTCACCGCGTCACCGCGGCACCGACGCACACCTCGGCACGTTCACAGAGTGGCACGACAGTCGGTACACCACGAGGACACGGCGTCACCGCGTCACCGACGCGCGCCTCGTTCAGTGCGCGCGACGTCAGCGGCACGGCTCAGGTTCTGCAGTCGAAGAGGTTGTCACGTACCATAGTATGGCCCTGCTGTATAAGGTACCGGTTATTACGTATTTCGTTACACACTGGGGAACAGAGCACGCGGACACTCATCACAAGCGTTACCGGTCATGTCGCCGAAGAAGCGCTTGCAGACGAGGCGCAGGAGGGGGCGGATGTTCATCTTGAGCTCTTCCTTCGTGAGATGCACGCCGAGCTCCTCCAGCGTCCGTGGAAGCAGCACATCCACGTCCCCCACCACCTGGGCAGCATTCGCATCACATTCACTCAATCGTTCGTCGCAACACCGTCAGTGAGGGACCGTTGTGCCAAACGCGTGACCCTCTCGAGACGGCGCCACAGACTCCCTGCCCAGGGGGCCCTCCCCGTTTTTCCCTCCCCATTTAGAATCGACGTGCGTTTTGGAGAATTTGCCCGCTGTACATTTCCACGCGATAAGCCACTTTGTCGAGCTATCGTTTGCGGCCGGGTCGCTTCTGAAAAAATTGAAGCTATATAGCTCAGTGGGGCCTTACCTGGTAAAGATAAAATCGAATAATGCAGCCCATGGCGGCCTGGTCTAAGCGTCTCTAGGACAGCGGTCCCCAACATGCGGCTCCGGAGCAGCACAAGGCTTCATACTCTTAGTTCTTTCGGTAAAGTCACCATGTAGGTAAAAAATTTAATTAAAATTAATAAAAATAAAACAATAAAATCACAACGTTTCGGAGGCAACACAAGTCTCCGTCATCAGGTGGGACCGTCACAGCCAGATTTGCTGCATCAAGGGCTGCGACGGTCCCACCTGATGACGGAGACTTGTGTTGCCTCCGAAACGTCGTGATTTTATTATTTTATTTTTATTAATTTTAATTTCATTTTTACCTACGTGACTTTACCGAAAGAACTAAGAGTATGAATCCTTGCAGTCACGAAAGCTTCAAATCCAGCACAAGGCTCTTTCAGGACCGCTCCGTGACGTTATTTATCAAAGACCATCGTGTCACTTGTATTCACCGCGTGGCTTTAAAAAAGGCCCTTCTTGTCATTTTGGGCGCAGGGCCCCTGGCTCCAGGGGGCGACGCGTGTGGTCGTGGGGACGCAGACGGTGCACGAGCACTCAGGAGAGCCACCCAGGAGCGCCGCTCTCGCGCGGCCCACTGACTCGGATGGGTTGCACAGAGCGATGGGGAAGACCCTGCGCGCCAGCGGCGGTCGCGGCCGGCCGGGCGAGCGGGCGAGCGGGGCGGGCACCTGCGAGAAGATCTTGTAGACCGGCTCGAGGACGAACTCCACGAAACTGCGCTGAGCGTTGGTGTCCGGCTGCTTCTTGGTGAAGCGCCGCCTGGCACGGGGATCGGCAACGGATCAGTGTCCGCTCGCTCGAAATTTTGACGAGCGGCAAGGGGCATCACAACTGCACGGAACACAGCCTGCGACCAGCATACCACCGAGGACCCCTTTAAAGCCTCAAAGCCAAGAGCCCCTGAAAAGCAATACCTGTCAAATGCAGGGCCCACCACAGAGGTCGCAAACCAGTTTTGATTCCTTACCCGTACCCGGCCGCACCAGGGACACAAACGGGTACCCGATTGCGACCTCTGGGATGAAGCCATGTTGCAAGCACGGGTGGGTTGATTCTAGGAACTTGAATTGTGAGACGAGACAAGACGTTGGGAAATGAGTGACAAATGGTGACTCACCCGTACCCGGCCGCACCAGGGTCGCAAACGGGTACCCGTACCCGGCCGGGTACGGGTAGCCTGGTATCGGGTAGGGTACGGGTATCGGGTACCCGATTGCGACCTCTGGCCCACCAGCAGAAGTGATGTCTAGCAAGGTGACAGAAGCAAAGATGTCCTTTCTCTGCCAGTTTAAGTTACCAAGCCACACCAACCTCTCCCTCCCCCCCCATTCAAAGTGAGAAACGATGACCAGCAGCCAAGCAGGTGACAGCCACCACAATTCGTTGCGGGGAAACGCCCGTCCCTCTCCTTTCCAAACGATCAGATTCATAACATTTATTTATACTGCAGGAGGAATCCGATGAGCTATGAAGCTCTTTGTTCACAGATGTCCAGTCGGGGCCACGCGGTAAGAACGCTACGAGAACAAACAGTACAAGAACACGATACAAGAAAGGTAAACGGATCACCCAAACACAAACAAATACAACAACTAAACCATCCCCACCCTGCCAGACAATGCCCCCCACTGCGCTATTCACTTATTTTCCAAAAGCGACCTGACCACAGACGATAGCTCAACAAAGTCGCTTATCAATTGGACAGTAATAGCCGCAAAGTAATCGAAAGCAGTGAACAAAGACACTGTTCCCCACCCCCCCCCCACCCCCCCCCCCGTCACCAGCCCTGCACGCTCTGCCGGCTGCACCGTTGACAAAGGACTCACGTCTTGGGGTTGAAGTAAACGTCTCCCCAGAGGCGTCTGGCAAACTCTTGGTAACTGACATCGCCTGTAAAAATCAAACAAGACGGTTTTTAACGGGATGCAAACGCACGACGGGCACCGTGTTGTATTTACAACGGGCCTGCGCGTCACAGGCCCAAAGTTGAGGGCCCCATTGGCAGTGGCACAGACTGTTGGGGAAAGTTCTGTTAACGAGCACCTATGAAGGTCGGCACTGCACACGAGGGGGGGTGGGTGGCCAGCACCACGTCCGACCGCCTTTGTCTCCCCAGCGGCGATGTTTACACACCTCACCGGGTACTCATTTGAGGCCGAGTCGACCTAGGGGAGGCCCAGGACCGGTTCAGATATTTCGTCACAAGCGTTGACCGTGAGTGGGAATCGAACTCGTGGTCGCCGGGTTCGTAGACTCAGCACGCCAACCGCTACCCCCCCACCGCTACGCCACCACACACGCACTCGGCTACATTCGTCAGGAGCAGCGCCTTAAACTTACAGCAGCGTGGCAACAAGGCCACGGACGGACCCCCCCCCACCCCACCCAACCTTGCGCAAGCAACGTTCGTTTTTTTAACAAAAGCTCACCGTAGACACTATGGGAACCTCATTTGCCAGTAAAAATATGATAATTGGTTTTTTTACCCTTCTATGTGCGCCTTTTGGCGTCATCTGGTCCAACCCATGTGAGACTAGGCTCTGAGGAAAGCTGTCTCGGGTGTGGACCAATCAACTTCAAGGACAGTGCATACATTATCAGAGTTGTGTTTTTTGTTTGCATTATGACTGCAGGTATTGCGGTCTATGCAAACTTGACTCCTTGTAAAAAGGTGTCAGTTTTCTCACCGTAGACGTCGGAGTAGATCTTGGCGAAGGAGCCGAGCGTGAAGCAGACGCTGTACTCCGAGCTGGCGAAGCAGACGTTGCCCAGCAGTGGCGACACCACGAGGCCGTCCTCGCTCTCCGAGTACAAGCTGCGGCGGCGTAAACGCACGGGGTCCAGGTCAACGCGTTGCAACGGGCGCAATGCAGAGAGAGACACGACGAAAGATCGGCGCGCGAGACCGTCCGAGCACACCCGGACCCCTTTCCCGCTCCGTGACGTCTGCAAGTTGCAAGGTGGGTCCTCCGTTCACCTCCGAACCATTTGCTCGGGGCGGGCGGGCGGGCGAGCGAGCGAGCGAGCGGGTTCGACGCGCGCGCACGGCGCTACGAACCTCAACAGGCTGTTGACCTCGTCCACAATGTGTCGCAACTTGAAGTAGGCGTCGGTGGGCGGCAGCTTGAGCTCCAGCACCAGCCGGTCGATCTTGTTGATGCACACGGTGATGGCGAGGCGCTCCTGGACCGCGTGCTTGATCAGCCGCTCGGTGTTGAGCATCACCTGGGGGCGGGCGGGCGGCGGAGCGGTGTTGGCGCGTCTGCTGGCGCTACGAAAGCCGGCGGGGGGGGGGGGGGCCCGAGATCGATTCCCGCTCGCGGCCGCCCCTAGATCGACTCGGCCTCAAATGAGCACCCGGTGCGATGCGTGGTAAACATCGGCACTGGGGAGACAAAGGCGGCCGGGCGCGGTGCCGGCCACCCAGCCCGTCGTGTGCCGTGTCGTCGGCCTTCGTAGGTGCTGCTCGCTAACAGCACTCGCCTCAACAGTCCGTTACAGGCTATACGGGGGATCTTTATCTTTGTGTCGAGACCACGATGGACAAGCCAAACGCTGGGCCGTGTCCACTCCGAAGCGAGCGTTTGCTCGGCTTGCGAGTTGCTTAAAACCGAATCGCTTACATGTGGATGCCCGTGCAACCAGTTGCTCAACACGGTTGCTTGCAGTTCACACGGGGCACCAAGGCGTCAGTGATTTGCTGCTCAAACGAGCACCCAAGGTGGCGCTCATCTTCCATTCACAGGCTGCCATCGGGGCGTTATATACGACATACTTCACCAGCCGTGTTAAAGACTGTGCTGCTGAACCATAATGCCATAGCAGGCGGTATGCACTGAATCAAGTGGGAAAGTAAGGCCTGCTGATGATGCAAACAGTCTGCATCAGCAGCAGGCCATGCTTTCCCACCTGATGACGGACACTTGTGTTGCGCCCGAAACGTCGTCATTTATTTTATTTTTCTACCTACGTGACTTTACCAAAAGAACCAAAGAGTGTGGATTCCTGCAGTCACGAAAGCTTCAAATCAAGATTGAATCAAGTATTGGAGTACTTCTAATCAGTGTGCTGCAGGTACATCCAGAGCTATATGTTAGAGAGGCATCCAAATACTCCGAATGATAATAATCCAAATCGACCGCTTTCTGTAAATGATTGTAAATGTTGTAGTGGGTTTACTCTCCAACACACAAGCGGTGTGCTGAACAAGTAACCAATTGGCATGTTTTGTTTATGTGAAAAAACTTTATTATGTTTTCTTTTTATTATTTTATTATTTCCATTCTACGTGACTTTACCAAAAGAACCAGGAAGATAAACCTTTACTAATTGGTTGTGTCTGGTGGTGGTGGTTCAACGGCAATTTGTATATTTACGTGATCTAACCCCGAAAAACCCCCTCTATTATGGATATTGGTCGCGAAGGACTACGCGTTATGTTAAACTGATGAGGAAAAACGTTATCGCAACAGGAAAATGCGTGCGGGCCTCAAACAAATCGGCGTTGATAAAAGCAGACGAGGCAGAGCGTTGCACGTGCCATTTGGTGGTCACGTGGACAGTGGCACGCAAGGCATGATGGGAGTCGCGCCGCCTTATGACCGTTTGCGAGCATGCCTTTTGTTTTTCACGTTGTCAAGTACTGTTTAATGGCTGGCTAACGTTGCTTCACGAAGGCGAGTTAATTAAACACGCAATAGAATACAGGGTGTGTAACAAAAATAAATGAACCTCACCCCCTCTGCTGCGTCAATGAAGAGCACAACGCCGTCGCACAGCCTGAAGGAGGCCGTGGCTTCGTCGGAGAAATTGACGTGCCCTGAAAGAAGAAAATGCCATCGTCAACTTCAAATCCCACACAACAACAACCGCCATTCGCCACTAAGTGGCGGTGACGTCCCCACGGCGCTTGTGCCAGGCTATGTGCACGTTGAGACCACGTGAAGTGTCGAACGCCCGCTGGCAGGAGAGGTCACGGGGCAGACCCAGGTGCCACGGGTCGACTGACTGAGATAACTGGCCGATGCACCGCCTGTGCCCCATACATACGCATTGACTTTGAAACGGATCGGCCTACACCAGAGACAGCCTCCCCTTCATAGCCTTGTCTCACCACCAGCGTTAGATGAGAGAACGCCAAAAGGCAAACAGCATAAAGGTTGGAAATATCAAGGTATTACTAGCGTGGATTGAGCAAATATTTGAACATATCCTAACACCTGTAATTGTTGCCGGACAGGGTAAAGCCGATTCATTTCTCATCGTTTTGACGAGCAAACTGCCCTTCCGCCAAAAGAAAGTCCCGTAGAAAAACAAAACCGGAACACAAAAAACAACCGCGCACCACACGCGGAATTGAAAAAAGCCATTCCCATTTGTAGCGCGCACCGCTGAGTTTCGCGAACCGCGACAACGCGGGCAAGCACAGGCGGCGGTGACCGCATCACTCACCCGGCGTGTCCATGATGTTGAAGAGGAAGGATTTCCCCTTCGAGTCGGGCAGCACCATGGTCACCGGAGTGCTCTTGATGCTCACCCCTCTCTGCGCAGAGAGCGGCACGGCCACGCGAAACACTTCAAACGACTACCCCAACGCGTTGCACCACGACACAGAAAAATCGTCGCCGGCGTCGTCGTCGTCAACATCGGCCATGGGGATCGCCTTTCGCCTTTGTTCTCTGATCTAACACTGGTGCAGACTAGGCCATAAAGAAGCTCTGACGTAAGCTAATCAGTTTAAAAGGCAACGCGTGTATTATCAGAGAGCATTTCTGCTCGCAAGTTTCGCCACAAGTACCTGTGTGGTGTGTGGTTCATACGGGGGGCTTGACGTCTGTTTGGTGTGTGAACATTTTAAAACCTATTCTTGGTTTTTTCGGTAAAGTCACGTAGAAGGGAAATAATAAAATAATATTATCAAACAATAAAATTTTCACGACGTTTCAACTGCAACACAAGCAATCATCATCAGGTGTGAAATCCACAGCAAGAAAATTTGTGGATTTCACACCTGATGATGATTGCTTGTGTTGCAGTCTAAACGTCGTGAAAATTTTATTGTTTAATATTTGTATTATTTTATTTTTTCCCTTCTACGTGACTTTACCGAAAGAACCAAGAATATGAATCCCCGCAGTCACGAAAGCTTTAAATCAAAATTTCAAAACCTGTTTTATTGCCAGAAAGGGGTAAAGCCCATTTTTTGATCCTGTCAAAAGGGTCCCATAGAAATAGGACCACGAAGACGGATGACAGCAAGACGCAAACCCAAAGGGGAAACATCTCTCGTCGTCTTTCTAGGCCGTGTCCCAGACTGCCAGACACAAATGTGACGAACTGTGAACAAATTACGGGCGTAGACCAAAGCACCTAATGGCCCGTTCAAAATCGATCGTCACGCTTCCTGATTCGTGACAATCGTGTGGGGTGGTGACTTCACCGCCCGGCGGTGGCCGAGTCCCCGCTGCTTGTCACGGGGGTGCCACGGTGGCTAAGAGATGTTAACTACCTCGCCTGGTATACGGGAGGTCGTCGGTTCGATCCCGACCCTGACGCCTGCTGCTGTATATTTGGAGTTTGCGTGTCTCTCTCTCTCTCTCTCATCATCATCATCACCACGGTGGCTAAGAGATGTTAACTACCTCGCCTGGTATACGAAAGGTCGTCGGTTCGATCCCGACCCTGACGCCTGCTGCTGTATATTTGGAGTTTGCGTGTCTCTCTCTCTCTCATCATTACCACGGTGGCTAAGAGATGTTAACTACCTCGACTGGTATACGGGAGGTCGTCGGTTCGATCCCGACCCTGACGCCTGCTGTTGTATATTTGGAGTTTGCGTGTCTCTCTCTCATCATCATCATCACCACGGTGGCAAAGAGATGTTAACTACCTCGCCTGGTATACGGGATGTCGTCGGTTCGATTCCGACCCCGATGCCTGCTGTATATTGAGTTTGAGTGTCTCTTTCTCTCTTTCCCCGTGGTCGCGTGGATTTTTTCTCTGGGTCCTCCGTCATTTCCTTCCACGTTTAGAATCAACATCACACGTTTAGAGTATTTGGCTGCTGCTACAAATTTCCACGTGACGATAAGCCCACTTCGTTGAGCTATCATTTGTGATAGCCAGGCCGCTTCGGAGAAAGAGCTTCATAGCTCAGTGGGCCTTACCTGGTAAAATAAAAAGTCTAGCTTAGTCACAGAGGTTCGCCATACGAATCGGCCCAGGTTAATACTGGCCGTGCACCAACCATCAAAAACACTAAACAAATACGCTCCGTGCACTTAGCAGAGGACGTTAAAATTGCAGTGGTGTCATTTCAAGAGGGAGCAGGTGATTGTGCAGCGGCGGTGGCGGCATTTTCCAAATTCGAAAAATGAACCCGCAAATCAATAAATTGGGAATCGCTTAGCAGAGGTCGCAAACGGGTTTTGATTTCTTACCCGTACCCGGCCGCACCAGGGTCGAAAATGGGTACCCGTACCCGTACCCTACCCGATACCCGGCTACCCGTACCCGGCCGGGTATCGGGTACCCGATTGCGACCTCTGACACTTAGCAATCGCCAACACCTAATGCTAAACCCTGGCAAGAACCTCTCGAGTTCAGTTAACAAGCGTAATCAATCATATGTGATTGAAAAGTATGTTCATATGGTAATAGGTTTTTACCCTTTTATCTGGCAACAAAACTGACACCTTTATACAAGGGATCATGTTTGCATTAACCACAACACTTGCGGTCAAAATGCAAACAAAAAGACAACTCTGATAATGTATGCACTGTCCTTGAAATTGATTGGTCCACACCCGAGACAACTTTTCTTAGAGCCCAGTCTCACATGGTGTTGGATCAGATGACGCCAAAAGGCGCACAAATCAAAGACAACGCACCATCAGAGTATTGAGAGCTCGGGGTAAGCATTTACATGATGAGACCTCCTTCAGTTTTGTTGCCAAATAAAAGGGTAAAAACCTATTACTATTCTTTCGCACCGTACGGATCCAACCGTGCTAATCGGAGGTGCGGTGTATGTTGAACTTCTTTTGCACCGCACGTAGTCAACCGTGCTAATCGAAACGCTGGAGGGGGAGACGATAAGATTTGAACCAAAGCTCTGGGTGGTGAAAATCTCCGCGGGGTGTCTGTCGGTGGTTGTGAAAAGGCAATCGGGGGCGTGCGCGATCGTTACCTCTTGCTCCGTGAACAGCGTGTCGGTGTACCGCAGCTGCACGCAAAGACACACGCACACAAACGCGTCAATACAAACCATTTCAACATCGATTAAAGGACTGCAGTTTGACGTGGCACATATAGCCACGTCAACTGACGCACAAATTGCTATGCGGTGTGATGATACTGCCCGAAGGGAAAAAATAAATACACTCTTTTTTTTGCCCCCGGTAAAGTCACGTAGGTAAATTTTTTTTTTTAAATAAAAGAAATGAAAACTAAATTAAATCGCGACAATGTAGCGAAAGCACGGTGCGCGTTCGCTACGTTTATGTTATTTATTAAAAAAAAAATTTGCCTACGTGACTTTACCGAAAAAAACAAAGAGTATGAATCCTTGCAGTCACGAAAGTTTCAAATCTAAAAAGATTTACGCCTAACGTTTTTAAGATTTTATTTGTTTCACTATTAATAAAACATACGGATGAAAGCAAACTCCACCCTCACGTGCCTCGTATTCCACGACTCCAGCAGAGTGCTGTTGTTTTTACTCAATTCTCTTGTGGACATTTGTTCAGCACCCAAACACGTTTATCGGTAAAGTCACGTAGGTAAAAAATAAATATTCTTAGGTTTTTTCGGTAAAGTCACGTAGGTAAAAAATGTAAATTAATAAAAGTAAAATAAAATAAAAATCACGAAGTTTCGGAGAAAACACAAGCTTCCGTCTTCAGGTGGAACCGTCACAGCACGATAGCACCTTGATACAGCTATCGTGCTGTGACGGTTCCACCTGAAGACGGAAGCTTGTGTTGCCTCCGAAACATCGTGATTTAATTTAGTTGTTTTCATTTTAAGTTTATTTTATTTTTTACCTACGTAATTTTTCCCGAAAAAAACCAAGTATGGATCCTTGCAGTCACGAAAACTTCAAATCTAGAATCAATTCACCTCTACGAGAGCAGTGGCAGCCCTTCGCGCTAGGGTAGAAGGGCCCACAGAAGAGAATATCAGAGCTACCGCTCGCATGCCTTCATGTGACCTCCAGTGCATACAGTCGGGGGGGTGGGGGGGGGGTGGCATGCTTCATCGCCCGCTCTGCGAATGGCAGCAACGCCCCGTCTCACGACGGCAAAACCGATCGCGTCATTCTCAAAGAGCTGGAAATGAGCCAAATTACGCGCCAAAGAAAATGTAACGCGCTAGGTATTTTGGCGCAATCATAGGTGACCGGGGTGAGACAATCAGCTACCAACAACACTCCAGCTGGGTTATCTTAACGAGACCCGAGACAGGTGAGAGCGAGCACGCACGCTGCCAAACTCTGGGGGGGTCAACTTGGTGATCTACGGTCCAATTTTATCACAAGCCTTAACGGCACACGGCACCTCTCCGGCAAACACAATTACTCGGAGAAACCACGGAGAGAATTGGAAGGGCAACGTCACAGCGTGGCCTAAGTTCTGTCTGATCAATGGAAAAAATAAAAAGTTTGTTGAAGACTTAGTTCGATGATCAAAAGTGATCGGTCGGCTCACTGAAACCTGTGGGGGCGGTCACATGACCTCCGTGATCCGACGCAAAACATGGGTCGGCAAACGAAATAATGAGGGCAATTTTTGGGGGAATTCGCAAAAAAAACCTAAACATTCCAAGAGCTGCATTGCACTGTGTTCTGCTTCATGAACAACAGTGACAAAGCCGTTGCTCAAAGAGCCGCATTCGGCTCCGGAGCCGCAGGTTCCCACCCCCTGAACCGGAAAGCGTCCGTCCCAGTTGCTCACCAGGAACAGCAACAAACCAGATTTGCCCGCATATGGGAAACTGAAATCGTTAAAGAGTAACAAAAAATGCGTGACGGCCATTGGAAGTGACGACCTCCTGGCAACGATCGCCCTACGCTGCCCCCAGGGTGTTATGGCTGCCTTCAGGGACCAGGGTGTTGCGTAGGGCCATCAAAATGTTTGCGGAGGCGCAGGGCAATATGCCAAATGTGTCCTCTTCTCAAGTCCCCTTGGCGCCTTTTCTGAGGCCCCCTTCGGACCTGAGCCCTGGAACAAACTGCCCTACTTCCCCCACCCCCCGACTCACCCCACCCTACCACCACCAGCACCCCTCCACCCCACCACCCGACTAAACCTCTGACTTCTGTAGCCAAACGAGGATGCTGGGCTCAAGCGTTCTAATGCGGCAAATATCGAGGGCACTCACATCTTTGTCATCTCTCTTGCGGATTTCAGGATGCGTTTGCTCGATCAAGCAGTCCACGAACGACGTCTGCAAACGAGAGGGAAGGTTGTGACGCGCGCTCCGCACAGGTCAACAGAATGTTACGCGAGCCGACGATGGTACAATTTCTATGCCGGCCAATTCCTGCCCTGAGATCGTTGGGATCTTACGGATGGAACGCGCCTTGCAAATGTAAATTGTTATTGGTACGGCTTGATTAATTCCATACACCGTGCTAAGCAATTAACGAACAAAAACCACGGGCAACAACACAAGTAGAAAAATGTTACCGCAAAATCAATTATTCGAAGCGCTTAATTTTCCTAGGAAATCCTGATGAAAAGCAACGGGCCGAACGTTACAAGAGATGGCGAGTGCCAGACCCCGTTGTTAATCTGGCGGCTCGAACGACATTGCCCAACGTAGGCAGATTAAAATATTGCCCGCTGCGTAACAACACGACAATCAATGAAGGATGCGGGGAATGAAAAAAGACACAACTCAACAAACTCATTGCTGCCCTTAACAGCTCCTTACCAACATCACGCCATGTAAATCTAATCGCAACCCAGGGGCATCATAAGCAGACCATCTCATAAGTAGCTCATACATTTCGATTTAAAGCTTTCCTGACTGCAGGGATTCATCTTCTGGTAAAGTCACGTAGAAGGGAAATAATAAAATAATAAAAATAAAACAATTAAATACAATTCTCACGACGTTACGGCCACAACGCAAGCAGCCGTCCTCAGGCGAAGAACAGGTCTGTCGGAAAGACAGCGTCTGAATGGGACAGCGTCTCATTATTCCCCTTCTACGTGACTTTACCGAAAGAACCAAGAAGATCACTCATACATATGTCATCATTATGATCATCGTCAATCCACTGCTGGATGAAAGGCCCCCCTCTCAAGCTGCCCGCCATCTCTCGCCATCCTGCCATGTCATTAATCCACGGAGCACCTGCAAAGTGGGCCCATTTCACCGCCTCATCTTGACACAGTTGCATGCCCTCTCAGGACACGTTCCATGCCTTGGCTGCAACTAGTTATTATCCTCGACTCATCGTCCACCGTTTACGCCATCTCCTAATAAGTATAACCCGTAAAAACAAAGTTTTTCACTATAAATCCTTTATATGCGTGGCGGCTAGAGTCCTCTCGTCCTCTGGCTTGAGATGGCTGCCACCTATGGGTCAGATGATTGTCTGCCAGTATTAAGCAATTGCTAATTAAATATTTAATTTGTTTTCCCTAAACAGTGTAACATTTTGGAAAAAAAATTTCACGAACATTAATTGTCTCGCACAACGAGTCTGTGTGCAAAATGTCAGCTCGATTGGATCACGGGAAGTGGGTTAAAAAACGACCGAAAGATTTGCACGGTCGTAACCAAGCAAGCACGCAAGCAAGCAAGCGAACTTAATATAAAGGATTTAAAAAGTGTCCTGCCCAATTTGACACCTAGTAGGCTTTCGCGTGCAATATTATTCATAATCAAGGTTTTTTTTTTGGGTTAGGTCACGTAAGTATAAATGTGTCACTTGCCCACCACAGCCAACCAGATTAAGGGTTTGTCACGTAAACAAAATTTACTTCAGCACAGCGGTGCGTTGGAGAGTAAATCCAGAACATTTCGGTCAATTCTGGCAAAGTCGCCCGATGATGCTGGATGTAATTACCGGCGAAATGTAACAGTACTCAAATTGTAAATGTTGTAGATATACTCTCCAACACACAACCAACCGGTGGGGCTGAACTGGTAACTAATTGGCACGTCTTCTTTACGTGACAAATCTTATCGGTTGGCTGCGTCGGGTGGTGGCGGATTAACGACACATTTATACTCACGCCATCGAACCCAAAAAGAAACCTTTATGTCCTGCCCAAGCCAACTTCACTGTTCTCCCAATGCAATTGACGCATCGTGATAATCGACTGACATTTGCAACGTCGGCCAGTAACGCCGCGAGGCAACGGCGGCGCCGTCAGCCGCGGCCTCGCAACTTAACCGGAGTTAACGTCCCGACGGATAACGGGAAAGGACGGACGACGACGTTTTCGGCTACGTGAGTGTTGGGGAAGGGTGGGGCGGGTTGAGGCGACGGCAAAATCGGGTCGCGGTGTTAATCAAGCGGCGACGTGTTGGCGAAACGGACGTTAAAAAAAAGGGGAGAGACGTAAATCTGCGGTACTACTGAATTTCCCTAGCCGAGGGTTTGTGTTGGGTGGGGGGGTGGTGTTACTTTTCCATGATGCAGGCGTCCAAATACGTCTTCACTGTTAATAAAGTGACGACACGTGTTTGCAGAAACGACATAAAAGTGGGGAGAGCCGAGGGTTTGTGGACGGTGGGGGATGGTGGGTGGAGGTGGGTGGTGGTGGGGGGGGGAGTGTTACCTTTCCGTGATGCAGGTGCCCGCACACCGCTATGTTCCTGATGAGGTCAGGGCTGTCCATCAGATCGGCCAAAAACCTGCAGGAAAGAATCACCCACAACCAGCGCGGTTAATCTATGCACAGGACTGCACTTTCCTTTTAACCGGACCGGTGCTTGCGAACCGCTGCTCACGTCACGAATCAATCCCAAACGGACACGCACAAAAAATATACATATATATTGACGTACAAACACTCTGCAGCAGCATGTGTTGTTCCGCGCAGCGTCTGTCGTTCAGGGCGGTCGTGTGCCCAACCGTTTGCTCGTCACGCAACTCTACACTCTACCGCGTTAGCCCGACTGGGTGCTGTCATCTGCCTGCGCGGGGGTTACGCAATCGTACTTCACGCATCGGTCAGCGTGTGCTACCAAAGGCAGGTGGTGGGGGGGGGGAGCGTAGCGTAGACATGTAAAGCACAGGAAGTACGCGCCGAAGACAACCCGCTGTTACGTACGTGACGGCAGTTGCTTTTTTGCTCGGACTGCCATTTGCTTCAGGAGCATGCGCTTGACTTTATTGCCTGTTTATTGTTTGCTTTCGTCATGTTGGCGACCACGGGGTTCACCCGTCGACCAGCGGCGGGGACTTCATCCTGGCACTCTCGAGGTTCTAGCCTCGTCGAAACAAAGAGAGACGTCTCACGACAGTCCAAAACGCTATCCAGGCGCTAACAAAATCCTGCCGGGCTTCCGAGCTCCGACAAAGATCGGGTAGGAAAATTCTCCAAAAAATGGTGGGGGGGGGGCGGAAGGGATTGTGAGTAATAAATGGTTGTTAAATCAACTGGCATTGAAAAAAAACACAGGCACTGGCGAAGGCGACAGGGCGACGAGCCGGTCGATTTATCGCGCACGATCCAACAACCGTGGCAGCGCTCGGTAATAAAAAAAAACGCCGTTGCTTCGGCGATCGCAACTTTCTCCCCAATGCACAGAAGGCAGATTTCAAAGCAAAGGGCACATCATGACCATCGCGGGTCCACAGAGTTCCGCTCGCTGCGCACGGGAAGCCTCATCTTGCAGGTAATTAAACGCCGGCTAAGAAAGCAGAGCCCGCACAGTGCACCTTGCACCTCGCGCTCGCGGACACGGCACGAGCGGACGGGAAACTTTGTGTCGTTGGAAGTGGAGTCCAAGTCGGGGGGGTGGGGGGGGGGAGATAGTGGCGCTGCCAAACAGCTGTGAGAATTGAACTGTGGAGAACTTCAAAAGGGACCGGGGGTGAGTCGAACCCGGGTCACGAGAACGACGCAAGAAGGGCGAAGCCAAAATCTACCGCAAGGACGTTAAAAGCTAAATCACGAACGTGAGCAAACTCCACTTTATGCTCAACATGATGATCCTAAAGATGCCTTCAATATTAATCTACTGGGCCAGGGACGAGCGAGGCGCAAACACGCCTTCACACATCAGTGAACTGCACTCTAAATCCCGATCACACACCTTCCATATAACAATGCGGCGTCTCTTTAATTGATCAATTGGTAGAGCGATATATCAACAAAGAAAGGCAATTATCCCCCGTATAGCCTTAATAGACTATCGGGGCAAGTGCTGTTAGCGAGCACCTATGAAGGCCGGCACGGCACACGAGGGGGTGGGTGGCCAGCACCACGCCAGACCGCCTTTGTCTCCCCAGTGGCGATGTTTACACCGCACCAGGTACTCATTTGAGGCTGTGTTGACCTAGGAGAGGGCCTGGGACCGGCTCAGATAATCGTCACCGGTGTTGGCCATGTGCGGGAATCGAACCCGGGTCGTAGTGCAGCACAACCGCTCCCCATATATACGAGGGCGCGCACACACCCACCACACACATCAACTTTCAATTCCGAGTACACGCAATAAAATTATCTGCAAATTGGATTTCCCAGCAGGGCGTTATTGATCCGCGAACCAAACCAAATTATTGCCGGGCGGCAAAGCACGACTTTTTGGCTAAATTCAATGTTATTAAAAATGTCGCTTTCAACGACATTAACATACAAGCACGCACGCGCCGTCCCATTGAATTTCTTCCTACTCACCCCCCCCCCACCAGCCGAGGCTCTCCCCAAGCTGTCAACAGTTTAAGCGAGAGACACAAGCCCCAAATGTCTCGTCTCGCGAGAAAGCCACGCAATTGTTTTGTGGCCTCTAGGCACAATTTCCAACACAATAATCTACACACCACCCGCCCACACACCACCACCACCACGCTGCCCCAGGGGAAAATCATGCATTTAAGTGGAGTTTTTTGGGGGTTTTCAAAGCCAGCGTGATCCCTTTTACATCTGTCACTAGCGTCTGTGTGATTCATAATACGAACGAGCGTTTTTTTTTTGCCACCGTGGCAAGATGTTAACGACCTCGCCTTGGATACACGAGGTCGTGGGTTCGATCCCGACCCTGCCTCCCGATGTATATTTTGAGTTTGCGTGTCTCTCTCTCTCTCCGTGGTGAGATGTTAACGACCTCGCCTGGTATACAGGAGGTCGTGGGTTCGATCCCGACCCTGCCTCCCGCTGTATATTTTGAGTTTGCGTGTCTCTCTCTTTCTCCGTGGTGAGATGTTAACGACCTCGCCTGGTATACAGGAGGTCGTGGGTTTGATCTCAACCGGGACCCCGACGTCTGCTGTATATTTTTAAGTTCGCGTGTCTCTCTCTCTCTCTCCCAGTGGTAGCGTGGATTTCTCTAAAAAACAGCTATGCAGCCAGCTGAGTGGGCCTTACCTGGTACAATAAAAAATATATGATATCTATCCATAATATGGTCAGGCGAAGCGTGTACACACACACACGCCATGAGATTCATTATTGAGAGACCGCTGCCATCTGGTGACCGCGCACGAGCCCAACGCTCAAAAGGGACGACGTGCGGCTCGCATTAACTCGCCGAGGAGAGAGAAAAACCCACGCGCCCCCCCGCCCGCCTTCTGCTTGGTTTCCAACACGGAGTAGGAGAATTGCCTCGACTTACAAAGGCGACTGCTCGCTCGTGCCACTGCTGGCGGAACGGCCTCTTTAAGAGGGAACTGTCAAGAGCGTCCCCCCCCCCCACCTTCCCCCCCCACCTCCGAGGGAATATTAACAATAAAAAAACATTTTCAACACGCAAATATTTTTTTTGTAAAATGGACGAGTTCATGTCCGATCGCAACTCGCTAAGAAGAGCAATCGAGCATACGGCCAACGCTTCCAATTTGGTATTTGGACATCTGAACACCCGGTTTAATTTCCAGAAAGGAAAACATCAGTTCGACTTTCAAAACCACCACCCCCTCCTGCGTACAACCAGAGGCCACGTGGAGAGATGGGGCGGTGAATGTCTGTGGATATCCACTTCCGCGAGCACGTTTACTCGAACGCGCGGAGGACGCTGCAAACGATCCAAACGGATTGTCAGGTGAGGCTTTGCACAATTAAATGACATTCTTGAGAAATCTTCTTGGTTCTTTCGGTAAAATCACGTAGAAGGGAAATAATAAAAATAAAACATAATAAAATAATTCTCACGACGTTTCGGCCAGCACGCAAGCAGCCGTCCTCAGGTGAAGAACAGGTCTGTTGGAAAGACAGCGTCTGAAGTCCAACAGACCTGTTCTTCACCTGAAGACGGCTGCTTGCGTTGTGGCCGAAACGTCGTCAGAATTATTTTATTGTTTTATTTTTATCATTTTATTTTTTCCCTTCTACGTGACTTTACCGAAAGAACCAAGAAGATGAATCCCTGCAGTCACGAAAGCTTTAAATCTAAATTCTTGAAAATTTCCACTGCTAACCGACAGCGAGGGAGACAACCACGCGCCCATTTCATCGATTCGTGCAAATGCGTCACACATCGCCTCTTCATGTGCCGTCGACAGCACAATCCGGATGGAATTGGGAAGGAAAAATGATTAAAAGATTGAAGCGGAAACCCGGTAAATTGAGTCTTTAAAGCAGAGCCTTACTCCATTTCGTAGACTGTGGGTGGCAGCTCCTGCTCCACCATGCTGAATTTCTTCGTTTTCACGGGTTTGATGATTGGCTCTGCAGGGCACATTGCACAAGCGCAAAGGCACGCACGTACGCACGCATGAACCACCACAGCACGACCGGAGCCCCTAAACATCTTCCCTCCCCTTCCCTACCCTCTAGGCACCCCTCCATCGTTGACCCCCCCCCTTCCCTCCCTACCCCAACGCACCCCTCCATCATGACCACCTCCTCTACCCCTCTCTATCCCCTCCGCTACCCCCTACGCACCCTCTGTGGTCACCCATTCCTCACACCTTGCATGCCCCTGTTTGATTGCTAACATCACTAACCAGCGATCGCTAACCGCCACTAACCAGCGATCGCTAACCGCCACTAACCAGCGATCGCTAACATCACTAACCAGCGATCGCTAACATCACTAACCAGCGATCGCTAACATCACTAACCAGCGATCGCTAACATCACTAACCAGCGATCGCTAACCGCCACTAACCAGCGATCGCTAACATCACTAACCAGCGATCGATAACATCACTAACCAGCGATCGCTAACATCACTAACCAGCGATCGCTAACCGCCACTAACCAGCGATCGCTAACATCACTAACCAGCGATCGCTAACATCACTAACCAGCGATCGCTAACATCACTAACCAGCGATCGATAACATCACTAACCAGCGATCGCTAACATCACTAACCAGCGATCGCTAGCATCACTAACCAGCGATCGCTAGCATCACTAACCAGCGATCGCTAGCATCACTAACCAGCGATCGCTAGCATCACTAACCAGCAATCGCTAGCATCACTAACCAGCGATCGCTAACATCACTAACCAGCGATCGCTAACATCACTAACCAGCGATCGCTAACATCACTAACCAGCGATCGCTAACATCACTAACCAGCGATCGCTAACATCACTAACCAGCGATCGCTAACATCACTAACCAGCGATCGCTAACATCACTAACCAGCGATCGCTAACATCACTAACCAGCGATCGCTAACATCACTAACCAGCGATCGCTAACATCACTAACCAGCGATCGCTAACATCACTAACCAGCGATCGCTAACATCACTAACCAGCGATCGCTAACATCACTAACCAGCGATCGCTAACATCACTAACCAGCGATCGCTAACATCACTAACCAGCGATCGCTAACATCACTAACCAGCGATCGCTAACCGCCACTAACCAGCGATCGCTAACATCACTAACCAGCGATCGCTAACCGCCACTAACCAGCGATCGCTAACATCACTAACCAGCGATCGCTAACATCACTAACCAGCGATCGCTAACATCACTAACCAGTGAGCGGCTGCGTGTCCTCTTCCTGCACCACAGTCTCCACCTCTGGTCCGTACACCTCTTCAGCAGTGGGGTAGTACTTCTTATCCTCATGCAGCACCACCTCCATTCCCACGGGCTCCTCTTCACCGTCACCTGCCTCCTCCTCATCCTCTTCAGCCTAAAGACGAAACAACGGGGACGTTATTAATCAGCATTTTCCCACAATTTTTTTTGTTTACCGGCCCAGGGCTGTATTATACACAGGTGACGAGCACCCGGCCTTAACGCTAACGTAAGCAAGAAATCGCTTGGATTTGTATTATTATTATGATGATGCAGAAGCAGTGAGGGGACATCTGCTGGGATATGTGCGGCGGTGGGGGGGGGGGGGGGCAGCAGCCCTTGAGTGGGGGGCAGGAAACGTTGATGATGCTGGGAGCTGGAAGCTGCGGAGCATCTGCCTTGGGGGGGAACGGAGTCATGGGGAGGTGGATAACGGATGCGACCGCCCCCGCGCCCCCCCCTCCATACGCCCCCCCCTACCCCGGGCATGCACGACACGCCACGCATAATGTCCCGCGGAGCCCGCTTGCGCACACACACACCCACCTGCTGTCTCGCGCAGCGAAACTTGTACACAACAGCAGCTGCCCGAGTTTGTTGTTGTTGTTGTAACCGTCATCATGCAGAACGGGACACGGGACGTAATTGCCCGTGAGGTTTGTGTTTGTGTTGTCGTTAAGTTTCCGTTTTAATGCCGGGTTTTCCGACCGCGACGTGTAGAAACGGACGCGCAAGGCGCTTTCAAAGATGCTGCGTTGCGTCCCAAGGGCAAAGGGGGTGAAGGGGGTGACGACCTTGCCACAGCGGCCCCCTGTCGTGTCGCCGTTGTGCGTGTGGTGTGCGAACCGCCAACACGGCGAATACAGAATCAGAGTCTTTATTTACACTGCAGAGGAATCCGCTGAACTATGAGGCTCTTTTTCACACATGTCCAGTCGGGGCGGGTCAAAAAGTTACAACGCCACACAATGCAAAAACACAATTGGCGTGCAAAGTATAGCAAAGGTAGGAAAGTCACTCATTAAAATACCCAATAACAGAGCTATTTTTTATTTTACCAGGTAAAGCCCACTTTAGCTAATCGCTTTTTTTTCAGAAGCGACCTGGCCATGAGAGTTCAACAAAGTGACTTATCACCACGTGGAAATGTATGACAGCCAAACAGAGGCAAAGGCCTAATGATCGGTGATGCCAACAACGGCAAAACTTTTCACGCCTCCCAAGTCATTTTCTCTCCTCGACAGCGAGTGAATAACTGTACGCGTTATACAAGTTAAGATTATTATCACTACTACTACTTTAGTACCACAAATTTATTTCTATGGCTATCAAGAGTGACGCAATGATAACCCGCCCAATTCAAATGGCTGTCACGTCATTACAGTGTTATTGGCCATTAAAGGAAATTGGAACTCCTGAAGTTACACGCCACCTCAGGTAGTACGGACAAGTGAAATATCTGGCTATAGAACCGTGGGACCAGTGCTCTGCCTACACCACCTCAACGCAGAAAGGCTGTCGCGGGTAAAGTGCGATTATCTTCAGAGAACTACCCAAGAACAACACGGATATCATAAGGCCCCACCAAAAGAGATGATACAAAAAAAGGTCACAAGACTTAAAATATAGTCCAAAAAGTGAAAGTGGTTTTTTTTTTTTGCTCGAATGAGCATTGGAAGGGCCATGCATCCTCAACCATTGTTAACTTCCCCACAAAGTGGTATATAGTTTATCGACCATAGGGGGATGATGGACTATAACCCCCCTCCCCACCCAACAGGATTGGAATCTCCTCTACCACTCAGCCACCTGTCAGCTTAAAATATTAGAGTACATATTACATTTGTAAATTGCTCTTTTTATTGCCATGATCATTGGACTTGTAATAACCATGCATCTCTCCTGACATTTAAAAACGGTTCCTTCCCAATCAGTCTTTTATGGGAAATTGGATTTCCTGAGTGGTCATTAGGAACATAATTGCTTTTGAACTATACCCTATTACACAGATGAAGTGTATGTTACTGGAATTAAGTTATAGATTTGACACATGACTGTACGCTATTATCATTTCATTCATGTTGTTAATCTACTGTGGCTGAATGTTTATAATGTCATTTTAACACGTAAGCTTTCGCGACCAATATTATTCATAATCAACGTTTTTGTGTTAGACCGCGTTATTTATAAATGTGTTGTAACCCTCCACCACCAGACACGGCCAATCAGTAAAAAAGTGTCACGTTGACAAAAGACAAATAGTTCACTGCTTTAGCCCACCGGTGTGTTGAAGCGTGAAATCACAAAAAAATAGTAAATGTTGTGGTTTCATGCTTCAACACACCGCCGATTGGCCGTGTCGGGTGGTGGATGGTTACGACACATTTATAAATAACGCGATCTAACCCAAAAACGTTGATTATGAATTTATTAATGTAGCTCAGATTTTTTTTTTATACGTTAAGATGTTTACTACGTTGCTTAGTGTCAAGAGCACTGAGTCGGCACTGGCGATGTCTCAAGTTCCAGCCCAGATCACAGCTCGGGGACTCAAAAGGTTTACGATTTTGTACAAGCTTTTGTACAAAATCTGAATGAAAAAAAACACGACAATTTGTGACCAACGTGCAGCCAATTCCACGACAAAATATACGACTTACGACGCAGTTGTAAATTAGCAACAAAGTGGTCAAGGTTAGAGAGGGAACCATCGATGGCCATTGTACAGTCACATCAATCACACTTTGGCGGTCATGGTTCATCCAGTTACTCCTCTTACTAAATTAAAAACTAAACTTTTTTTTACACGCTTTTATTTAACTCACTCTATCTGTTGTCGTATCCTCAAATCTTGTAACTCTATTGTAACCCACTTCCCAATGTGCTATCGACTGCAAACTTGGTATACATGTCATACTGATGACAATACGACATTCTATCATAAAAAACATATATTTTAAAACATTCTTTTACACGCTTTTTATAAACTCAATCTGTCTGTTGTCATATCCTCAAATCGTTTAACTCAATTTTAACCCACTTCCCAATGTGGTATCAGCTGCAAACTTGGTATACGTATGTCATACTGATGACAATACTATATTCTATAATTAAAAAATATATAAATATATATTTTAAACAATCTTTTTTATATGTTATGTTTCGCCTTGGGTCTAATTGTCCACGTTGGCTGTAAATCACCACGGCCGCTTACGCTGTGGCAAGTTTCGGGGCCACTTCCTGGAGTCGTGGAGTTCTGCCATTACTCGTACGGTACATTTCATTAAAGCGTGTTTTAAAAAAACTATTTTTTTTATTTTACTTATTATTTTACCAGGTAAAGCCCCACTGAGCAATATAGCTTTTTTTTCCCGAAACGACCTGGCCACAAATGATAGCTCAACGAAGCGGCTTATCGCGTGTAAATGTATAGCAGCCAAATACTCTTAAACACATGTTGACCCTGAATGTAGAGGAAACCAAGGGAGGACCCAGAGAAAAATCCACACGACCACGGGGAGAGAGAAAGACACGCAAACTAAAAATATACAGCAGATGCCACGGTCGGGATTGAACCCACGGCCTCCTGTATACCAGGCAAGGTAGTTAACATCTCACCACGGGGAGAGTCACGCAAATTCAAAACATACAGCGGGAGGCAGGGTCGGAATCGAACCCACGACCTCTTGTATACCGCGCGAGGTCATTAACATTTCACCACGGGAAGAGAGACAGACACATGCAAACTCACAATATACACCAGACGCCACGGTCGGGATTGAACCCACGGCCTCCTGTATACCAGGCGAGGTAGTTAACATCTCACCACGGGGAGAGAGTCACGCAAACTCAAAACATACAGCGGGAGGCAGGGTCGGAATCGAACCCACGACCTCTTGTATACCGCGCGAGGTCATTAACATTTCACCACGGGAAGAGAGACAGACACATGCAAACTCACAATATACACCAGACGCCACGGTCGGGATTGAACCCACGGCCTCCTGTATACCAGGCGAGGTAGTTAACATCTCACCACGGGGAGAGAGTCACGCAAACTCAAAACATACAGCGGGAGGCAGGGTCGGAATCGAACCCACGACCTCTTGTATACCGCGCGAGGTCATTAACATTTCACCACGGGAAGAGAGACAGACACATGCAAACTCACAATATACACCAGACGCCAGGGTCGGGATTGAACCCACGGCCTCGTGTATACCAGGCGAGGGAGTTAACATCTCACCACCGTGGTACCCTTTGCCTTTGGTCACCAGCACCACTCAATGCAGTTTAACAATTACCTCGTCTCTTGGTTGGTCATCTCGTTCGACCTCATCATCCTCCTCGTCGTCCGAGTCCAGCTCCGGCCCGATGTAATTGCCAAACTCATCATAGAGGTCTGTGTCCATGCTGGCGGCTGCTAATCAGGACGCCCTACAGTTGCGGAGAGGGGGTATGGGTGAAGAGAGACAAAATTATTTATAATTGAAAGCACTGCGACTAAAATTCAATCTTGACTTAAAGCTTTCGTGACTGCAGGAATTCATATTGTTTGGGTCTTTCGGTAAAGTCACGTAGGTAGGTTCAAATTAATAAAAATAAATGAATAAAAACTACGACGTTTCGATCACAAAACAAGCGATCGTCGTCCTAATGACGATCGTTTGTGTTGTCCTCGAAACGTAGCAGTTTTTTATATTTAATTTTTATTAATTTGAACCTATCTACGTGACTTTACCGAAAGACCCAAATAATATAATTAAATCACTTCAATATCGCAAAGTGTACAGCCAGTTGCCAAAGCACTGCAAAGTCTTTAATATCAGACAACTTGACAATATCGACAGAATGCATACATTGTGTGGATTTAAGCAGCATTTTGTAGTTCTATAACATCAAGAGGCCTCTTGGGTAACTGTCTCTCGTTTGTGAATTCCATATTTCTATGGCCGGTGCTAGCCATTCATATAACACAATAGCAACACAAGCCTGTCCACAAAATTCAATGAATAATTGTGCAATACTGGGTTGTATAATGTAAGAACGGTATAATATAGCACCATATAATGCATGGTAAAAAATTCGAAATGTATCACACGTGGGAAGGGGTGATGTATGGAAACATAAAAAGGTAGTGAAAGGTTACAAAGTAAAAAAAATGGCAAATATATGGAAAACAAATGGAGAAACGGGCGCAAAGTGTCAGCAAAGTTGCGGATGTATGTTGAACTTCTTTCGCACCGTACGTAGCCTACCGTGCAGAGGTCGCTACCGGGTACCCGATACCCGTACCCTGGTGCGGGTATGAGGTCCTACCCGTACCCTGGTGCGGCCGGGTACGGGTAGGCCCCGAGTCACTGGTGAGTCACCGTTTGTCACTCATTTCGGGTAGGGCACGGGTAGAATACGGGTACCCGTACCCTGGTGCGGCCGGGTACGGGTAAGGAATCAAACATCGATCTACAATCTTAACTTTGGAGCTTTCGTGACTGCAGGAATTATTCTTTGGTTCTTTCGGTAAAGTCACGTATAAAGAAAAAATAATAAATTAAATAATAGCATGTGTTGCAATCGAAACGTCGTATGCTATTATTTAATTTTTTTTTCTTTATACGTGACTTTACCGAAAGAACCAAAGAATAACATCGATCTACACTCGTCCGTAAGTAAACACATTCACCAAACCGCGCACCACTGACCAGCGCAGTGGAGTTTGCTGTCAAACACCACCACCCTCAGGCCGTACGGAAGCCCCCTTTCACACAGCAGTGGATTGATTTTGTATTTATGTTTAAACCCACAAACCCCCCGGGGCTTGTACATTAACCATAAGCCGTAGCGTGTGCTTAAAAAAATAACTCTAATTGTTTACAACAACCCGATCCTTGTGGTGGAGCGATTTGGCGGAAACCGTTGCCGAGCGAAGCCTGCACCAGGCCCATGCGAGCGCGGCCCGCGTACCAACGGGGGCGTTTCGGCTCCTGCGACGAGGTTGAGAGGAAGAGACGAGGAGGGTGGACGAGGTGGAGGAAGAGGAGCGAGGAGGAGGAAGAGGATAAGTAGAAGAAGTCGTGGCGGCAACAGGAGCCGGGAGAAACAGCGCCTGCTGTGTTGAGCAGCGTGGTTACCACGCTGTGTACGGCGCGTCGGAAGGGGAGTGGGTGGGGGGGAGACCCACGCGGAACGCGATTGTAAAATAGCGAACAGCATCCTGACGGTCCCCGGGTTACGAGAGACCCGACTTACGGAAGTCCGACCTACGGAAGCCCGACCTTATGGAAATGCTACAAATAAATAGGACCTTTTTTGCCAGTTCTATAACATCAAGAGGCAATCAAACAGGTGTTAATATGTTCAAACAACAAATAATGTCTGCGTTAATCACACGTACTTGTGGTGAACATGCAAACAAAATATGCTCCGATAAAATTAGATTTGACTTTGAAACTAATTGGTCTACACCAGAGACAGCCTTCTTTACACATGATTCCTTGCAAAAAGTTTCTATTTAGTCTTTGAACATCTTAACATCTGTTTTTTTTTGCTAGAAAGGATAAAAACCTATTTTTTTCATACTTTGATACAGGAAAAATAAGTCTCATTTTGTAGCTGCTCACCCCGAGTTATAAATGTCCTGATGGTGCATTGTGTCTTTGTATTGTTCGCCTTTTTGCGGCGTTCTCTGGCCCTGCAATGGTGAGACTAAGGAAATGCTCCCATAAAGCATGTTTGCGTTAGTTACGTAAACGCAAGTAGTGCATCGTGGTGAGGTTGCGAATTAAAACCGTGGAGCGAGACGTAAGACGGGTAGCCTGACGCCTCACTAGGATTAACGATTAATGTAATTTATCTTGATTTTGGGGGGAAATTGTCCAGTTCCCGGCATACGGAAAATTCGGGTTACGGATCATTCTCGGGAAACCTATCCCTTCCGTAACCCGGGGACTGTCTGTACTGTCGGGAGGACCCACACTAGTATTCTCGTGCAGTGACGGCAGCAGTAACTGCGTTCAGGAGCTCGGCGACCCGTTGTTAAAGTCTGCAAGCCAAGACGAGAGGGCTTCGGGAGAGACGCCGTTCGTGGAGTCTTGCTGACAGCGCATGCTACAGCCGATTACTCGATGGGTCCATAGTTTGGATTGCAAGGACACAATTCACTGCTGTGGCTTGTCTTCAATGTATCTCTATGGGTCTCTATGGGCTTCCTCCGTATCTCTATGGGTCTCTGTGTCAATATATCTCTGTGTCTCTATGGCTTTACTATATTGGTCCATAGTTTGGATTGCAAGGCCACAATTCACTGCTGTCGCTTGTGTCTTCATTGTATCTCTGTGGGTCTCTATGGGTTTACTCCTTATCTCTATGGGTCTCTGTCAATGCATCTCTGTGTCTCTGTGGATTTACTCTCTGGGTCCATAGTTGGCGTTGCAAAGCCACAATCGCACGGCGGTGGCCTGTGGCTTTTATTTCCCATTCAAAAATATCGCTCCTCTTACTCTCTCCACGATTTGCCAACCCCGCGTCCAATGGGACATGAAAAAATTATGCTCGCGTTGAAAAAAATATATTTGTACGTGTCAGCCAGCCAGCCTGCCTGCATCCTGTATCTAACCAGATGATAATACACCCTGCACTGAGACACATTTGCAAGGGCGGCCGGAGCATGCGCGCACGTGCTTGCAGAGACAGACACGTCACGTGCTTCTCCACGGCGAAGATCAATCCTGGGTCTATCTTCTTGCTCTCTCTTTCTGCGTCAGCCTCCCCCACATCCTACCTCCTCCTCCTTCCTCCTCTCTCTGTACCTTGAAGGTTGACACCCTCTGACAGCAAACGGCCGTCTTCAGACCGTGCTTGCTGAAAAGGTCAAACACAGCGCACTGCTGCAGCCCGCGGCGATGAAACTCCGACTCATCACTCGCGATGCCCCACGGTGCCATGTGCTGAAGTCGCCCCGGGCACGGCAAAGACAAAGATCCCCCGTATAGCCTCTAACAGACTGTTGGGGCAAGGGCTGTCAGCGAGCAGCAGCACCTATTGAGGCCGGCGCTGTAGACGAAGGGGGTGCGGTGGCCAGCACCATGCCCGGCCGCCTTTGTCTCCCGCAGTGACGATGTTTATACAAAACTGACACCTTTTTTACAAGTTTTTAATTTTTTTCATTTTTCATTTATTAGGTATAGCCCTGTGAGCCATTCGGCTCTTGAATCGGGTGCAACCGCAACAAACAAAAAAACAAAAACATGAACAAGAAAACATCTTAAAGTGACTATGTGCAAACAGAAAATCCAAGAAAAGACAGCAAAATATTGCAGAAAAAGCACCGTACACCAACACTGTGTGCAAAAATCCCAGTGGGATGCAAGTCAAACAACAACAACCACAAGACAACTTAGATTAAGGCCATCAGTCTAACTCTGTACTACAACAAACAAACATGGCCAAACCGAAAAACTTTTTAAAAATCACCAAAATAAAGCCATAAAAGCAATGAAACAGTGATCATAGGAACTGTGACCGAATTTTCACAATAAACGACGTAGCTGGCTGCATGAGTCACTCCACAACAGCAGGAGCATCAGTCAAGAAGTCATGTTTGCATTGACCACAATACCTGCGGTCGGAATGCAAACAAAAAAGACAACTCTGATAATGTATGCACTGCCCTTGAAATTGATTGTTCCACACCCGAGACAGCTTTCTTAGAGCCGAGTCTCACATGGTGTTGGACCAGATGACGCCAAAAGGCACACAACTCAAAGACAATGCACCATCAGAGTATGAGAGCTCGGGGTAAGCATTTTAAAAAGGTGTCAGTTTTGTTGCCAGAGGTAGTTAACATCTCACCACGGAGAGAGAAAGACACGCAAACTAAAAATATACAGCGGGAGACAGGGTCGCAATCGAACCCACGACCTCCTGTATACCAGGCGAGGTAGTTAACATCTCACCACAGAGAGAGAGAGAGAGACACGCAAACTTACAATAAATAGCGGGAGGCAGGGTCGGCATCGAATCCACGACCTCCTGTATACCAGGCGAGGTCGTTAACATCTCACCACGGAGAGAGAGAGACACGCAAACTAAAAATATACAGCGGGAGGCAGGATCGGGATCGAACCCAGGGCCTCCTGTATACCAGGCGAGGTAGTTAACATCTCACCACGGAGAGAGAGAATGACACACGCGAACTAAAAATATACAGCGGGAGTCAGGGTCGGCATCGAACCCACGACCTCCTGTATACCAGGCGAGGTAGTTAACATCTCACCACGGAGAGACACGCAAACTAAAAATATACAGCGGGAGGCAGAGTCGGGATCGAACCCACGACCTCCTGTATACCAGGCGAGGTAGTTAACATGTCACCACGTAGTTGCTTTCGCCAGACAGGCAGACGTCTTGAATTTCAAAGACCCTTCCAGTTCCCTTTGATATCACGGTCACCGTGACTGTTATTCTCTCTCTTGTCTCCCTCTCATCTACCAGATTTATCTCAGCCATGTTTCAACTATTCATACGTTTGTACTTCTATCAAGGTTGCTGAGCACAGGCCCAAATAATCCAGACGTCAAGCGAACCAGCCACAAACAGCACTATCTACCGGGCATCTTTGACAAAGAGCATTATAGCTCGTCGGATTCCTCCAGAATAAATATTCTGTTGAAGGTATGATAGATACAGAGTTACTAACCACGCTTGGATTACTGATACCTTTTTTCAAATTTGAACAAAAAGTTGTTCGGTGTTGAGAAGTATAAGATAGAAATAAAGAAAGTAAACATTCTACAGGATCGCTCCTTTGCAGTGTCGCCCATCAAGCTCATCACACCCTGGCCTCGGTTGAAGTCCCCCCCCCCTACGGATCCCAGGGGGTGCTTTTTCCGTCGCCACAAAACAAACGAAACAAAAGCAACGCGACAAGATGTCACAATTAGTCGGCGTCAAACGGACGCGACAAACAGTTGAGGGGGACTTCAGACCGCCGGACGCACGCGCGCGCGAGCTCCCGGGGCCAAAAGTCTTCACGAGACGCCTTTAAATCAGCGTGACACTTGGGACGGGACCGCTTCTTCCTTTCACCGCCTGCTGTCACACGGCAGAAGTTTCGGCGAAGGATCACGGTTGGGTTTTTTGTTGGTTGATTGGTTTTGTTCCGCTCGGCTCTGTGTGCGAAACGGTTCAGCGGCGAGGGAGCGGTGTTTCGTTCGTGTCGGTGATTGAGAGATCATTGTGATTGCACTCTTCGACGGAGCCAGATTATCGTAGGAGCACAAGTAGCTACATATGTAGTAGATACATATGTAGTATATGTAGTAGATACATATGTAGTAGATACATATGTAGTAGCTACTACATATGTAGCTACATATGTAGTAGCTACGGGCCCCGCACTTTCAAGGGCCCCTCGCTAAATGTTTTCAAGGTATCAATTCCATAATCAACGTTTTTGGGTTTAGATCGCGTTATTTATAAATGTGTCGTAACCCTCCACCACCCGACACGACCAATCAGTAAAAAAGTGTCACGTTGACAAAAGACAAATAGCTCACTGCTTTAGCCCACCGGTGTGTTGAAGCGTGAAACCACAACATTTACAATTTGAGTACGACGTTTCGCTGGTAATTGCATCCAGCATCATCGGGCAATTCGTGAGAATTTTTATTGTTTTATATTAATATTCTTTTATTATTTCTCTTCTATGCGACTTTACCGAAAGAACCAAGAATATGAATCCCTGCAGTCACGAAAGCTTTAAATCAAAGGTTAGGGTAGTTGAATCAGTGGTAGTTTATTAAATATCACGAGTCAAATATTAATTGATGTCCGAAACAGAAGGTATAATGAACGTTGTCATTATTGTCCGGACCAAGCTGCGTTTGCATCACAGCCACCGTGGGCTACCCTGGAGGACGTCACAAACCTCTGGTGGTGTGAGGACCACGCTCTGAGAACCACTGGTGGTGTGTGGACCACACTTTTATAACCGCTGGTATAAAGCGATCACCGCCTCCGGAAAGAATGCAGTTGCCCAATTAACGCCGGACTGTCCGGGTCAAACTGAGACGGGTGGCAACCTTTGCTTCCGCTCCATCCCACAAAACACGGACAAAGATCTCCCAGGTAGTAGGCAATGCAGACTCTTCGTTGG